CCTTTCTAAAAAAGAGATGTTGAGACCAGCGCGAATATCGTTAATATCGAACAGTTGAGGCCTCTTTTCCGCGATGTCGATTGGTTTTCTCGAAGCGGTGTGCTTCACTTCTCTTTTAGATTCATAGTGAATGAAGATTTGCAATTTAGAAATATACATTTGTACGCATCAACTATTGAAGTAAAATCTCTAATCTTAGTAATTAGAATTTAAGTAACAACGATTTTCGTTTCGAAACATTTTCTCGATTGAACAGAATTAATCGTTAATTTAATCAATACCAATAAGTCCGCAGAATGATACGCAAAACGTAATGACAGTCACTGAACAAAGTAATTAGAAATATTAGGTATAGCATTTTCAATTTCGTAGGCGGGACAACGGACAACGAACGCTCAACGTTTTTTTGTTGTTTTTCTCTCGGCGCGGTGACGTACGATGTTTTTGCGTGCCATCGTGTATCTGAAGGTCGCTGCGGTATCACTCGCTCGCCGAACGTCGTGCCGGCAGGCAGCAGCGAGAGTCGCTCCGTGTGTCGTATTACTTTTGCGTTATTGGTTTCCAAGACTCGATCGCGATGAATACAGGGATAAAACACTATTGATTTGCACACCTTTATCAGTAACAAGTAACGTTCCTTGATTAATCATTAAGTTTTTACAACTTGCAAAGAGAAACGAATTGTATATTGAGGCGACGGTTCTTTATCAACGTGTACCTAGATATTTCACGAGATTAACTCATCTAAAATATGAATGTAAACCGTGGTACTTTGTCGCGGTTACATCTCGTTTACGCACCGCGCTTTTAATTATCTGTCGATTTCGTGTAATCTGTTCCATTTTCGGGAAAAAAAGAGAAATTTGTACGACTTCGCTCTGTCGTTCTTCGCAACTCGAACGGGCGGGAAGTAAAGAGAGTCGCTTATTGCACGTCGTTACATTATTTCTTTGCCGCAGATTATGCTTCCGGTGCTCGCGTTGCGTTTTATATCGCCAATTCAAGTGATTTATCCTATTATTCCGAATCAAAAATGCAAGTTGTTAGTTTGAGTAATTTGTATGAGAGAAAGTCTTGGAAACCGATAACCCAGAAGTTAATAATATTTCGTGTGTTCGCGGTATTTCACATCGCGTACGGGAGTGCCGGAAATTTTGCGCGATCGATGATTTTCGCGAGTGAGTGTTGTGTAAGTGCAACAAGGAAATCTGAGAGGAGGAGGAGGCCGAGAAGGCATCGGGTAACGGCGGAGAAATCGTAAGGTAAGTGTCTTACATTTTTATGTTATTTAATTGTTACTTGTGCAAAATAAAGCATCTGTTCTGTGTTTTTATTTTATTTATTCAAATGATTCGAACGAGGAGTCGAATAAGTGTTAGAAAACAAAGCCAATGTATAAAATTTTGTGAATTTATATTTAAAAGGAAGACTTTCTCAGTATTTTATATAATTATCTTAATAAATACCTATTTTTAAAATATAAAGTATGAAGCATATTTGGTACAATAATTTCGATTTGACACAATTAGTCTATACTAATCATATACATATTTGTATTTTTACAGTTTAACACACATGATGTAAAACTCTGCGGTTGCGAATCATATCAGTGAGTGATAAATTACTTTTTATTTTAAATTGACGTTGCGCATACAATTACTTCTTTGCATGTATAGAAATTCTTAAAAATATACAATGCTCAACTACAAACTGCGCGCGCGAAGCGCGCGTTTGCTCATCTCTAGTATATTAAATAATGCAATGTTAATCCGTAAACTAGTATACTCAGCGACTATAATACTATAAGTCAGCTGCATGCTATTATATTCGCAGATGCGAACAGATTGATAACGTGTGTCGCAGCCAAATAATAAAATGTGCGCGTATATTCGGTGCGATATGTTATAGCAACGTCGCGATAATCCGCTATATCGCACTGTGGGCGTACCTTAGTTTTGAATAAAATGCTGCAAAAATGAGATAGGAGCATCTCTCCCTTCCCTTCGTCCTCCTCCTCCACCCTTCTCTCTTTTTCTCTCTCTCTTTTTTTTTCTTTTATCAAGACCCCCGAGAAGAGTGTTTCGCGAAGCATCAGATGCCGCAAATTATGCCAGCCACTTGAAATGACCGAACGGCGAACGTGGAACGCGCGTGGTTGGGTTTCTATTTTCGGCCGAGCACGCGGAGTCGATTAAGGCCGACGACGGCACGTTTGTAATCTTCAACGAGTTTGATCGTTTCCGGACACACCGCTGACTTTAATCGCGTATCCAGTATCCGGCGGTTGATTATCGCCGCTACCTTGTCGTTCTTCCGCTCGAGAAATTGTGTATCGGCACGATACACACGCAGCCCGCTTCTTCTCCGTTTTCCGGCTTCCGAGCAAAAATAGACGAGGCGCATAGGGAGTTAGCAACGATCGCAGCGATGTTTCTTCGTCTTCGCCATATCGTTAAAGCCTTTGCTTAGAAAACTGTGGTGCTAGAAAATGAAAAGTCGCCTGTCTTCTGTTCGTTGGTTGTGCAGGAGTTAACTCACAGTATTATGATAATTTATTGTATTACTGTGTTTAATTTATTACGTCGCGATAAGCAAATTATCGTGCTATGAAATACTTCCCGCTTCTCTCAAAGCTCATAATATTTAAATGCATACCTTTGACTGTCTTGGAAATATACTATAAATCTGACGAAAATTAAGACGAAAATATGTGTGGTTTTCACATTATTATATTATAATAATCAATTATACATATGCAATACCAATTATTATTAATATCTCTAACAATCTGCAGAATTCAGCAACTGAAGCTGCACATTTTTTCGGAAGAGAAAATGTTAGCTGTGGTCTATTTCTTTTTACAAGAACATTTCTCTTTTTGACGCATTATTTCCGATGAGAGTTTCTTTCAGCGCACGGTAAATGCTTGGCAAATATTTTCTGAGAGTTTGCTGTTCCTGAAATGCTAAATTCCAACAGTGTATGATAAAATGGTCGCGATCTCTTATCGCCCCTTTCGAACGAAGTTCAACCCTTCGATAACGTGTCATCGAATAGTCATCCATCAAGTACACCCCCAGTGTTATCGATATTATCCTTGCCCCATCTCCTCCATCTACCTTACTCAAACGCGACCCGAAAAAAGAAACTTCTCTCTCGCTGAACTTGTCTTTCGCTCGATTACCTTCGCGAGCCCCGCAGCGAGAAACCACCGATGCCGATCACGTGATGACCCGCGGATCATCAATTAGTCGGGCGTCGATACGTACGCCAGGTTCGAAGTGAGATAGCACCTTTTGGGCAAATAACGAGAAAAGGCACAAGTGTCACTTGGTTGGCACCGAAAGTGAAAGCAAGGATCTCAAGGACTTGGCCGGATCCTCTCCAGTCACCTCTCCATCCCTTCCCCCCCCCCTCTCTCTCTCTCTCTCTCTCTCTGTCTCTGTCTCTGTCTCTCCCTGCCTCCGTTTCGCCCGCCTCGAGTACCAGTCATGAAGGTACTCCTCAGTCGTCCAAGGGTTGAAAGAGAAGAACGAGGAAGACCAAAAGGAAGAGGAGAAGAAAGAGAAGGAGAAGACTGGTGCGCGAGGCCGAGAAGAGGTGGAAAAGAGTAGGAAGATCTCCGGATTTTCTCTGGGGGAGGATATGTGTTGGAGGTCGCGAGACGCGGAGGCGAGGGACACGCACACACCGGAGGTCGCGCATGCGTCCGCCGTCGTCGGGCAGAGGATGTTCGACGTTTTTTTCAGTCACCGGTCGACGCTGCGCCGGGCACCGTCGTCGTCGTCGTGAACACGGCCGCGATCGCGCGGCGTTCAGCTGCTGGCTACCACCACCGCACGTTCGCGCACGACGCTCGCCTCGCGGACAACAGCCTGGCGCTGGTGCCCGCGTGTCCGCGCGACCGACGTCGCGGTCGATAAGCACCTGGAGCGCGAGAGGATACGGCCAGGTGGAGGTTCCATACCCGGAAGAAGAGAACGAGGAGGAAGAGGAAGAGGAAGAGGTGGTGGTGGTGGTGGTGGTGGTGGTGATGCAGTGAATCAGTTCTCGGCCACGCGCTTCACGTGCGCTCTCCTTCCGAGACCTAAGATCGTGCCGTCGGAAGTTGCCTCTTTCTCGGGGAGGATCTCGCCTATCCTGCCGTTATTGGTTGACCTCGTGGCGAGGATCGCGGCACGATCACATCCTCCGGGAACAGCGCGATATCAGGGCAAGGTTACCGTGCGCTCGCCACGTCCCCAGGTGAGAAGAATCACCGGGCAGGCGCGTCGAGAGGGCAAGTCCGCACCTGGATTCGCTATCTCCCCCGGCTCCGGCGTAAGATGCGATCGGCGGCCACTCGCTCGTTACGTCGATCGCGACAGTGCGGAGCAGCCCGCGTCGAGCGTCGAGATTAAGACGGGTGAGGAGGGTGAGATACTTGTCGTCGTAATCGCGACGGAGGGACTGGCGCAACGAGAGCACGGAACATCCCCGATAACGCCCCCGAGAACAACCGATCGTTCGCGCGATTAGAGCGAGTCGCGCGCGTGCGGGAAGGAAGACCCGGACGTGCGGCAAGATCGGGCGATGAGAATCTCCCCCCGGACGGCCGAGGAGTCCCGGAACCGTCGCCTCACGCAGCCCCGGACGCCGAGGAGGCCGCGACGTCGTTAACGGAGAAACGCCGCGAGGATGTCGCTGCACTATCCTCAGGGATACCGGTACCGATCCGCGTCGAGGGCGATCAGCGGGGTCGGCGAGCAGGGCTCCGACAGCGACGTGGCGGAGCTCAGCGACCTCGAGGACGACGAGGACGAGGACGGAGCTCACATATCCGCCAACAGGCGAGCGGCCGACGAGGACGAGGACGGTGAGAACGATATGGACGACGAGGACGACGATGATGACGACGACGACGACGACGACGACGAGGATGACGAAGATGAGGACGAGGAGGAGGAGGGCGAGGGTCTACCCTATCCAGGCTTCATTCCGATTGCTCTCAGATATCTCGACCAGACCACACGACCGCGCAACTGGTGTCTTGCGCTGATTACTAATCCATATCCTTTTGGTACTTCTCGACTCGGTATGGTAAACTCTGCTTTGTAGTAGATACGTCGACCTACATACACATGCGATCTCGCACATTGCGCTTTAATCAGCATAAAAATCTGAAACATTTCTATAAATAATTTATAATTCCGAAGGAAAATTAGTATTAACGTTTGCACATATTTGAATAAAAAAAATCTTATGGATTAGAATTTGCCCCTCAGATTTCCGAAGAATATCGGAAATTTTGTGTCCTTATGACGAAAGGATATCCCTGATTGGACACGTTTTGCACCAAGTTTCTCAATAATTAGCAAATTTTTAGACGTTTATATTATCTGCGATATATTTTATAGGCCCGATAAATCTTTCACCAAAAACAGAATTAGAAGCGATTATTGGATATCGAGTTTCTACGGTAGCTTTTGTGAGGGAGAGACATCTTGGTGTACATTTTACGAATACAGATTCGCTTTTCATGGTCGTGGTAAGCTGATGCGAACTGTTCCAGTCGATCTTCATTAGGAATTTATTTCATCTCTCTGACTACACAAGGTTGCGCGTGCGTCAGCATCCGCCGTAGCTATCAGGATTTGTTGATTCTCCTAAGTCGCCGTGTAGCGCGTTATCAAATAAGATTAACTGGGAGGCGATGTCGAGGCCCATTCAATTAAACAAATTATCGACAGCATCAACATTTTTACCTACATTTTCGCCCTTATAGAACGTGTAACTCGATCTCAATAAATCAGCCACGTTATAATGTACATTAACGGGTTGACAGCTAATGTCAATACTATTTCGCGTTGGGATCTTTATAGATAAAAAGGATAAAATCGTGATAACACAATGACGCGTGAATTAAAATAGAAATCAATTATGCGCTCTTTCCAACGTTCGATTAACCGTTTGTGACGTTAGATTTAACGTACCGCAATAATCAAGGATTAACGTTAATTGGTAGGTAAATTGGATTTCATTTCGGAATCGAAATAAGCGCGAAAGGAAAGATGTGTTTATTTTACGGAAAAAATTGGAACGAGAAAGATGTCGTCTTTCCTGAAAGGTCGTTTCTCGAGCTATAATTGTGACACTTAGCGAGAAGGAAATTGGAAAATTGTATCGGTACCATCTGAGGACGATTAATCGCTTTTTCTACGTATGACGTGTCTCCGACGTGAAAACTCCTCGAGGGATACGCTTGATCGTTCTGTTTTCGCACGATGTCCTTAACTTACGGAACTCTTCGCGCCCTGCGAACAGCGCGGCGCTTCCGCCTCATTTGTTGAATTGTTGAGAATCTCTCCCGCTATCGGGCGAGCATTTGTTGCCGCGAGTAGCCCCGATCGAGTGTGGCGAACTGGCGGTGGCGGGTGCCGAGGGAGACCGGTCTGAAGACACCTTAAATAGGTCATTGATTGACCTATCCCCAGGCGAATCCTACTGCGCGCGTAGCCGCTTTCCACAGTGGCACAGTTCTCTCTCCTATCTCGCTCTCCTCTCGGCGCGGCGGTGGCGGTGGCGGTGACGGTGACTCCTTTTTCTCCTCCGCACAGTGGCGTTCCCGTTCTCCATCTCGTCCCGCATTTTCCTCACCCTCTCGCGGCACCCGATCCCTCCTCCGGTTCCCGGCGCGTACACGGCCGGAGCGCCTATATCCGTTTGTGCGGGAAATTACTGGGGGGGAGGGCATGCGGCGGGACGTGCACTGCACGTGGTGAGGCAGCGGCAGAGCGACGGCTGCAGCGGCGGCGGCGGCGACGTCCGGGCAAAGTTTAGTCAGCCGACCATCGGAGCAACAAGCGCCGAGGGAAGCGCGCCGCGCGTCAGAAAGATCTCCATTGTGCGCGCGAGGACAATGGGCGCGGGTTGAAGCACGTCGTAGCACCGAATGCGAATGCGGACCTCGAGCCTGTTTCACATTGCCGCTGCAAAACCATCGCTCTCGTCCCACCGTAATCGCATCTCGCCTCGTGGCTCGTCGTTGAAATCGGCTCCCGGATACCGCGATCTGAAATTCCCGGGTCCCCTTGTTGGGGGAAAGAACCCCTCTGGGTATACCGAGGTGTCCCTCAATTTAATCAAGGTCCCGTATAAAGAATTTAATAAATTTCTCTACGTTCTGCGTGGTACACGCTCGCTCTCTTGCGGAACCGAATCGCGAGAATACTTATTTCGGAACGAAAACAATAGCGGAGCGTTACGCTAGCGCGTGAAAATTGCAATATTATCTCACGGTTAATTCATGTTGCATGGAGAATCGCGACTGGATGGTTTCAATTTTCGAAATTTCGAGGTACATTTCACACAAAAGCATGTGTTTGTATCGAAACGGCAGAGACCTTGACCCATCGATGTTTAATCCTAGCGGGACCAAGGGCGGGCCAGGGAATGCCAAACTGCATTTTTCCTTGAACTACTTGCTGTAATAATTGTGGTTTATAACTCACAGATTTAGTTCGCTCAAGCAAATTTAATTCCAATGCGCAAATATAAATGCAGCGTTGCCACCGATATTAACTGCACCAATAAAATTATAGTAATGAACTTTATTTAAAATGTATCATCATCCAGGATGCGTTTAGTCCGATCTCAATAAATCAGATATTGTAATGTATGTAATATTCTTTTGCACCAATATTATGATAAGGATAAAGAGAATCATGTATAAAATTACAAAGAGATAATCTAAAGTGAAAACCAATTATGCACCTTCCAATGTTCAATTAAACGTTCGCGGCTTTTTTAACTTGCTGTAATACTCAAGAGCTGTACATATAATTCCAAATGAAACGGACTGGATTTTGTCCTCGGACTCGCGGACGAAAGAAAGATATTCTTATTTCACGAAGAGAAACTGAGATGAAAGAACTTTTTGTCTTCACGAGACATAATTATAATAATTGCCTAAGAAGCACTCGAAGATTTATCCGCCGATCACTCTTCTATGGAGCAATTTTAATTTCATGCGTAAATAATATTATTGATCCACTTTTATAACACGTTGCATAGTTCAGGAAGTTTGTTTTACTTGGCTTATAAGTTCGGGGTTATAAGCGGTTAACGCGCGGCTCGGATCAATAAAAAGCTGGTCGCAATTCTTTTAATTTGCTGAAACCTGTAATTCGCGAGAATGCATTGCTTTTCTGCTTAGAGATTAAATGCGAGATTACATGATAGATTGTGCGAGATGATTGCCATTAACGGAACAAACGGCTATCTCCCTGTTCCAGCCTGATAGTTTACTTCATTATCTTAAGTACCATAAACCGGGCGAGCAGTTATTTACGATTTAATCTGATTATATGTATCCTCCACATTTAATTCATTCGTCTAGTGTTAATGGTTATTTATGTAGACAGGTTGTTTCACTTCAAGTCTTATCGTTAATTAGTTTTAAGTATGAGAGTTGCACACGGAAAAAGATGTTACTGTATATTGCTTCCGAGAATACTACACGATTAAATTACTTCTGTTTTTTTTTACATTTTCGTCTCTTTTCGTCTCTTATTCTTTGGTTTCAAGATTTTTATAAACGCGCGACTCTAAAAATAGCGAAATGTTCCGTTATGGAAGGAAACGTTCGCTCCTTTCGATAGGCTGGCGTTCAAGTTTTGACTACTTGTCGCTCTTGTCCGACGCATGATTGCACTACTCTACTGCGTTGCTTGAATTGCACTCGAACTACTGATTGTCGTGAACGATCGACTGTCTCTACTGCAGTTACATTTTTTTGTTTTTATTTTATTTTCATTATAACAGCAGCAGATTAAGCAATGCAATTATTTGCCAAATATTCGACAAACAGTAAAAGCTACTTTTATGTGAATTTAATTGCGTTGTCATATATATATAAAATAGTAATTGGAACATTGTCATATAGACGTATTATATATTATTTTACTCGATTTTACCTTGGCTTTGCGAATATTTATTGTTTAAATGCGAAATTCGTAGAATCATCGAATCCAGAGCGGAGAACATAAATAAGTATTAAAATATTTATAGAAGGAGACCGTCTCTTCCCGAGATGCGCGTTGGAAAAAAGGATATTGGATATTAAAAATGTATTGAATTTATCGCTCTAACGATGGAAACCTAGAAAATGTAACGAGAAAAGTACGCAACGTCGCGCAACGTTTGCGGTGGGTTTTTCGTTACGGTGGTAAACGTAATACTTGAGTAAGTAGGTGTCAACTTCACGGGGTATGACAACCGCGGTTTTGCGGTGAACAAATGCGATATTGCGGCTATAATCAAAAGCAGTGGCCCGAACGGTCCGGTCTCAAGGGCAGTTCTCTCCGTTGATCTCCCCACGGTTTCGCGCGTTCTTCCATCTTCCTTCGCTGGATCCTCCCGATGATTTGTCATCGATCGCCGACGAATACGGGCACGAGGTCAGGACGTTCGTAGGACCGGGGAAAAATAATCGAGTGACTAAAGCGAGGCAATCATCCGCGACCTCGAACGTCGCCGGAAGCGGCAGTCGATCGAAACAATTTGCTTGGCCGCCTCGGCCGCTTGATTGTCTATTAAGCGCCGCGTAAATGAGCACCGATGAGAGCGAGAGGCGTCGATGAGAAACAGGTTGACGGGCCATCACCGACCGATCGACACGTAACAGGCGCATAAAAATCAATCTCCTATCGTACAAGGGCTCGCGCTTTGTATGTGTTTTATGTATGTCGGCTGTAACATTGCAGCGTAATTGATGTCATAGTTGATATCTTGCAGATAGCATTTGTATAAGAAGTTCATATTAATTTACATCTTTGAAGTTATACGACGCGACAAGGATCATTTTAATTAAAAGTAATTAATTAATGAAAGTATCGTTAATTATTTTAAAAGCTTTAAAACGTTGTTTATAATGTCTCGCTAATGAATGCAACGTCTGTCGGTCATGACATTTGAAAATACTCATTGTATGAGAATTCATTTTTCATCGGATTTAATTAATCCAGTGTTTTTTTAATCGATATTACGGATGTTACATTTCTATTAAAAATTAGAATAAAACATTAGTGCAATAAGACACTTTTTTTTTACCGAGAAATCTGTTTTTCCGAATATTTTTCGTATCAAATATCAAAATATAATATAACAAAGTTATTTCTCATAGTTAAAATGCAGTACACCAAGCAATTAATATAAGTTCACATTAAACATGGCATATCTTTTCTGTCCTTCTCTTTATTCGATTCTTTTTCCTTCTGACAAAAGAGACAACGTTTCATCGGAAAAACGTACGAGCTGTCAATGCGAATATCGAAGAACAATTTGAGTTAGGCGAAGATTTTCCACATTAGCGAAATCGGCACTGCAAATTTCAATCGACCAGTGTCTTCAATCGCGATTGTAATCTGTACTGTCGCGTGTTTCCGCATCGTGCATAACGCTAGTCCAAGATTTATATAAACGGTCGTGCATTGTCGCAGCGAGCCAAGAGAATTCTGCAGCATGCTGCAACGGCATTAATCCTTACACGAACGATACTTAACGCGGTCACAGGCACGCCGGCCGAGACGGCGGCGCGGGTACAGATTACATAGCACGATAAACGGTTATCTAGGGCTCCGAGGTCTTGCAACACCTACGGCTCACGTGCGGAGCAATCGAATTGATTATTTTCCGCTGGCGCTGCTTATCTCCGAGCGCGTTAAAACGGGTCGGGATTTATTTTTAGCAGCACGCGTACACGAGTCCGCGAGATAGGAAGCATTTGTCCCTTCGCGAAATGCTCGCGTTTATTCTCGTAACGATTTAATTACTCATTCCGGAAATGAGGAATGCCCGTCTCTTTCCTTGTTCCTGGAATATCCGAGGCGTGAAAATAGTTCCGTCATGGCCGAATTCAACGCGCCCGTGTGAAACACAGTCTGCTATCCAAGAGAGTCTCTCGGGTATCTAATTCTCTCGTTTTCTAAAATATTCATTCTCAAGTAAAAGTAGAAATAGGGATTTAAAACTTCTTTCATTCCTTAACAGAAATGCAATGGCTTGCGCAAAACAATTACTTATTTAAAATAAAAAATTGACAAATAAAATTGAAAGAGACATTAGAAATTCTCTCCATTAATTTTATATTTAACAAAAAAGTCTCTTCATTAATTCTATATAATTTTAAATCTAAATTTCTAGCTCTATTATTTCTCATAACTTAATCTATAACCTTTATAATTTTAATTAAGTTATTAACTAAAGTAATTTTAAAGAAACCGAGCACGCGCTCCGAGACGTCAGCTTCGACGAAATCGATGTGGTAGTTCGAGCGTGAAACGCGGGTGCTTTCGATTTTCCGCGGACAGAACGACGGACGACTTTATCTTGCAGACCCATTACAATTTCCGTCCGGTCGCAGTAATGCAGGAAATAAGAGAAATCTAACAAATTGCATGTATAGTCTGTCTTCTGGTTTTTGTCGTTATAAACGACCGCGACAAATTGCGGCAAACCTTCTTCAGCAGCTGTCGAAACGGCTTGAGACGAGACCATCGCGAAAGAGTAGGAGAAAATGTCCCTTGACGGAGGATTTTCACGATGATTTAGGTCTTTCCAGGCAGCGTAGACTTCGTTGAATCGATCGTGGCGTGAACGACGAATCCGGAAAGGAGTTCGGTCGCAGATTGACGTCCCTGACACTCTGCCGCGGCTTTTCCTCGTTCCTTCATATCAGACAGCCTGTTGACTGAGCACCGATTGCGTGTCCTAAGTACTACCGGGTGCCCTTTCAACCGTAGATATTGGAGAACGTTCTATAAAAAAGAGCAATTACATTAATGATGGAACATTGACAGTATATTACAGTGTTGTAAGATTAAATCTCGGCAAACTAAGCGTGTGAAAACGCATAGATAGATAATCTTCTCTTCGAAATTTTTCCTCTTGTTTTTTTCTTCTGATTTTAACCGAATTTTATTTCAAGAACCCATGAAACTTCAAACATATGCTCGTTGAAGGTATCGAAAATTTAACATTTTTTTTACACATAAATACATTTTAAAGAACTAGCATTCTCTTTTTCTTACAAAAAGATTCTACATGTCACATTTTGTAGAAGAAAAAGTGTTCTAGGGAAACATTTGATGTTTCTGGAACACGTTGTATACAACGGGGAATGTAGTTGATATAATTCTGCCGTTTCCCACATCGTCGTTTCCACTTCTTCGCCGTTATTATCATTTACTCTGACATCCATGTTTGCATGTTTAACAAAATATACGGTGCTTTTCAACATTTTTTTCTTTATTACATTGTTTCCTGCGAATAAGGAGCAATCAGGTCAATGGATAATAAAAGAGTGCTTGATTGTCATTTAAAAATGAAAATTAATCTCTCTATTTCTCTCTCTCTCTCTCTCTCTCTCTCTCTCTCTCTCTCTCTCTCTCTCTCTCTCTCTCTCTCTCTCTCTGTCTCTTACTTTTACTCAATCTATCTATCTATCCATCTTATTGCATTGCTTTCTCATTAATCTCTCTTAATACATCGTTTTCCTGATATTATATTTAGATGTCTAACGTTTCACAAGAAATTAAGATTATATGATCCTAAATATATTAGGATCAGATATTAAGATTAAAGATTAAATTTTACTGAAATATTCATATAACATATGGGTTTGCAAAAGTGTGAAACAATCATGATATTCTCTTATATACGGAATGAATATATGATACCTAATGAAGATTAATTCTTATTATCTGTTAACGTATATTAAAGATTAATGATACATTTAGTAAGAAACAAATTATCTCTGATATATCTCACAATGCTACAATTCAATTACGTTTTAAATAATTTAGACAAAATGAGCAAATACATTTGTTTGATGATTATGATGACAATAATCATCCAACGATAAAAAAACAATTACATACACTTACTATGTTTTAGTCATTAAAAACTCTGTGTCAATTAACTACGATTATACACTGCGAACCTAATGGTTGAGCAATCATTTGTCCTACCTTCATGTAACAGTTAGAAATGGTTAACCTATACTGGGGAATAAGGCTTGGCAATAAGAGCGGTGCATGCCTCGTAAGGGGATGAAAGTTAACAGCAACAACAACACGATCCATTAGGTTCAGCGCGCAAAGCCTCTCATACATTCAGCCGTTTTCTACTTGAGCGGATACACCTGTCGGACGACGTGGCACCCGTGCACACCGATGAGGAATCCATTGTGTGTGAACCGCAGCATTTGCTGGAAGAATAACGGAGCAATCATTTCGATATACGCAGATATCGTGCTTTTGTCTGCGTTAATTATACGACTTTAATAATTACACATTTATCCTTTATGCGTCTACGTTAATTATTCGGCTTTAATATGTTGAATGTCATGATGTCACCGGTGATACAATACTGACACGTTGAGGCGCATGCAAAGTGCAATTAATACGCATACACAAGTTTGCATTATTAAAAACTTATCTTTATACCTGATACAACGAACTGATTAAGCAAAATTCGCCTTGCAATTAGCGCGTTAATAAACGTGTCGTACTTCCTATAATTACTTGTAGCCGTCGATACTTGGAGCTCAAAACTGGCAACAAACATTTTCGGATGAAATCCCATTTTATTATCTTCGCTGTTTCCAAACTAAAGTAAAGAATAGTGGAAATTTATTCTCTTCCTAAAACAATATATTTCTTCATTTTGAAATACCTACTGTTCGAGTTCACCTCTAGGTATCTTATTTGAGCTTCTGGAGTATGTAAATCTCCGGTCCTAATAAAGGGCACCTGTCAACGCAAGGAATGCATGAATGTCTATCATCAATCGCCTCCTTTGCATTAACGGGCGACGACGTTCACCAAGACGCGAGGGTTGCATACTGAGAGGAAGAGAGAGAGAGAGAGAGAGAGAGAGAGCTCGGTGGAGGCCAACCTAGTTTATTGATCGAACACACTCCGAGCACGTTTGTGAAAGCAGATAACGCAGAAGGTTCCTCGCAATCCGCCTGTCAAAATCACCGACATGCTGCTTTTTAATGCGAACCTTCCTCCGGTTCTCTCTCTCTCTCTCTCTCTCTCTCTCTCTCTCTCTCTCTCTCTCTCTCTCTCTCTCTCTCACTCGTCGTTGCCCCCGTCTCTCTACGCCAGAGATGAAACGGTGCAGGTGCTCGCGACTGTCTGTGTAAGCACACGGGGGTGGCTAAGAACCGCGCTCGTACAAACGCTCGTCGATATCACCGCTTGGCACGCGAGATCGTGTCGGCGTGATAGATCGCTATTATGATACACCATCGCTTCGCGATCGTACGGCAATCTATCATGCATCCGGCGTGAACTGCGTAGATTGTACGATTCCGTGTTTAATTCGGGTCGAGAAGCGAGCGCTTTTGAAATGCCGATCTGTACAGCAGAAAAGTTATAAAAACGTCTGACTGACGTTCGAAAAATAAAGACGTCTTCTATAATATTAACACGTCGAATTGCAGACGCTTTAATAAACTCTTTCAGACGCTTGCGCTGCCCGTAGAAGCGCTTTGTCTAGCGTCAAAGCGTTGTGCGAAAAGACAAACCCGATATTCCAACCGTGCATGGATGTGCATGAACAAAGATTGTCGCGATTTGAATTTAACTTTCGTCAGAGACTCCATTTTTAATTAGCTACATGAGATTTATACTTTATTCGCCGAGCACTTTCCAAATTTTCGTGATACACAACCCTCGAACTCTTTATCCATAATGAAAGTTCTTCTGAGAATAAATGGAGATGTTTTAGGGAGCTTAACGGCGGATTGATTTGCGGGCAGACGAGTCGCAGCGTGTGTCAATTTTGTCCTTTCATTAGGCTAATATCTCACCAATCTCTGGCTGTGCAAATATATTCCGAAGAACTGTCCCATCTAACATAGCGCTATACGTTCCATTCGCGTGATAAGCGGCGATCGATTTATTTTTAGTCTACCAATTTCCTGCGCGCCCAGTCGGGCCATTTATCGTCCGGATACCATAAAAAGTAACAAAGGTCATTTACGAAGATAGACGGGTTCAAGTTCAAATGTCACACCGTGGTCCATTATTTTCGGCCAGTTCTCGATGACTACAGGCGATCGATTCGAGGTAATTCGGAGACACGGGTCGTCTTTGTCGCCTATAATTAATTGAGCGCAACAAGTAGTAAAAAGAATTTCAGTCGAAATAAGAGATTGCGGTAATCCCCATCTTAATGGTGCTCCCTACTTCACTTTAACCTTTTCGAGAAGGGCGTCGGCCTCGCGTGTAACTCGATGTCAGTAGCCGGCTAGCTAACACGTGAATAGCCGCTTGCACGCGACGCCGATGAATATCGCGACGTCGTATAACACCGTCGCCGCAAGGGTGGCATACGAATCGCGACTGCTCGGGAATCGGTGCCTCGGTTTCTTATTTCTGTGCGTCACGCACGCGATTTATCTCCACATTAAAAAGATATCACGATAATATGTTCTCGAAGACGTATCGCAGATGGAAAGGATAATTAAACATACTTTTCTCAGATATATAATACATAAATAGAGCACTGATGTCGTGAAGCAAAACAGATTTATCTTTAACAAACAAAACGAAAATTCTAAAAAAGTTAAAAATATTAAATGATGTTGTTAAAAATTAAAATTTAGACTGTAAACGTCTTTACGCGAGATTTGTGTTACGGGGTAAAATTCATATTTAGCATGTGCAGTATTAACTGTTTAGTATTTAGAGAGTTTAAAATGATATTTACGTGTAATTAATAATCGCATTCGATACTGAGATATCACAACCCTATTAAAAGCGGTAACTACCGAAAACTGATAGCTGCTAATTGTACGATCGGAAACTCGCTGCATCGCATCACTTGCGCACACATCTTGATTATCGATTTCGATTTGAACTTTATATCTAATTTCAATGTGCTAGCACGGACGACCAGTGTGTCGTGACGTTGCAGAAAAATCGGACGTTTGATCAAATCGTGGCTGACATGATGATCGAATAGTACATCGTATACTTCATTCAATATTAATCGCGCACTCATCTGCGACACTTTTTTCCACGCCCGGTGGCCAGAGACGCGTGATTAGATGTAATCGCACAACTTGTCTGCTTGTTAAATTGGCATGTTGAGAAATGCGCAGCGAGAAAACACGATGTTTAGATGATAGTCACTTGGCAACGATAATCGGTGCGCCGATTACGGCGATCTGACATTTATCGATCGACGCAGGAAAAAAATTGCGCGTTGCGAAAATGAGGCTCAATTATTATAAATAACGATTGTATTCTTAACGAAGAAGACAAACGTCAATTCAACAAATACGGAAAGAAATTTGTTTTCTCACTCATTAACGTTGTACTCATTTTTATTACGCGGTAATAAAACTGATTGCTCGTAGGAACATTTCAATGCTCAGTAATTTTCATGCAAATAATGGCGAGGCGAATTACATTCGTATATTGTAAAAATTGAGAATTATTTATTCACAACATGCCTGGTTAGGGAGAGATGAGAGTGCGAGATATTTCCAATACATTTCTCATATACTTTTCATGCACACAATTTGTATCCCGTATGTTTAAAGATTCTCTTTTACACGTTAGTTTTAAATGCGTGGCCAGCGATCTATTACTTTTAAGGGAAAAAAGACTGAAAAATACCCAGCTGTTTTCCTTAACAAAGACTCACGTGGTTCGAAAGGGTGAGCATGATGGTGATTCTTCTAAACTGCATTACGCTCGGGATGTACCAGCCGTGCGTGGACGACCAGTGTGTAACGAATCGATGTAAGATACTGCAGGTAGGTACTCATATCTCGCAGCAGCCGGTTGGAAAAAGAAAAAAAAATGAATGAAGAAGAGGAGCCAAAGTAATCCGCGTTATCTCATTCGGATTTGAGAAAGCGAAGCATAGCGTATCGGGTTTATTCAAGTAAAAACCATTTCCATAAGAACGGCTCCCCTCGCGATGCCGAGTATCGCATTTGCATGTTCGCGTGCCGGGGGAGGAAAAAGTCCGATATCGAAGTGGGAATATTTACAATTCAATTAAGTCAATTTACGGGAAATTTTCGCGTGAAGGCGACGATTATATGGCGCGCTGATAAGCGAATTAATCGATTGCGCATCTTGACACGGTTTCCGGCCGGTTCGCAATTAGTCTAGCAAAGAAGAAGGAGGAGGAAGAGGAGGGGGGAGGAGGATAGGATGGGAAAGAGATGAGAAAATTACCGACATGGAACAGCCGTTAATCGAATCCTCTAGTAGAGTGCCCTAAATCAATCACGGTGAATTACGTCGATCGTACCTTGTTCTAATCAAGCTACGTTCTCCTATTGCTTTCAGATGTTCGATGATATCATTTTTGCCTTCTTCTCCCTGGAGATGACCATAAAGATGGTGGCGATGGGGATTTACGGTAAAGGAACTTATCTCGCGGATTCCTGGAATAGATTAGATTACTTTATAGTGCTAGCTGGGTAAGTATTTCATTTCGGTTCTCCTTCATATGTTTTTAATTTTTCAACAATTTGTCTTACTTCCAAAAGTTTTTGCATAAAATCCGCGAGAATTCGCATGAAATGCGTTATAATAAATAACAATATGGAGTAAAAATACACAACTTCTCAGCAAAAGTTTTACAATAATTATGACAATTAACTGAAATTATTTTACATTTATGGTGCCTCATATATATTCCGTTCAGACAATTGTGTGAAATATATTTTTATAATTTTTAATATTACGTATCTTTAAATTCAAAATTTACACTATTTTCATAAGTTTATGCAGATTATTAATTACAAAATATTGTTCAATTATAAAAAGAGTACTGTAATAAATCATAAAATAGACATGTTAAAGAAGTTTAAAGAGTGATTTGGTTGTAGCGCTATGGAATACTGCCTAAACGTGGAAAATATGAATCTGTCAGCCATCCGAACGATAAGAGTATTAAGGCCGTTACGAGCGATCAATCGAATACCAAGTAAGTAACGAGATCTTTGCGATATGTCAGAAACCTCGATGGTTGACGGTTAACTGCAGTTTGCTCCCATCGTCGATTTCACGGTGCATTGCCAGGTGCATAACCGCCGCGTACAAATCGTAACGAATTCACGGTTGATTTCATCTTGGAATTGAAACGTAGAGAAGGTAGAGAAGTACACATAATCATATCAAACAAGAACAAGTAAAGTTGACAAGAAGTAACATGTAACTACAAATGTTAAGATCGAAATTCCAGACTGAATTTCGCGTAAACGCGAAACATGCACACGTGTCCCGGAATTGGCGACCTTAATTTTAATAAGAGACCCTTCGATGATCAAGGTGTATGTTATATCTTGATTGTTTTATCTTCGTACCATCAAGACATTCAAATCATCCATGGAGAAGAATTTTGTACAAACTATTTTTAAGGCAAGATTTGAATAGTATCTTATCAATCTGCGGCTTCAAATTTCTTTCTCCAAATTTAAACATTGATTAATTATTTAAAAATTTCCGTGAACGTTCAAAAGCTGTTTTTTCCTCAATATATAAATAGAATGGATATTCGTCAATGTGTCTACCATTAAAATTAAAGTCGAAAATCTAGGTCATTCCGCGTGAGATGTATTTTCAAATTATCGCGTATATTTATAGAAAGAAAAGACTCAAGATAGCATTAGACTATTTCAGTGTCCAAGGAAGAATATCCGCAAGTAGAATCGATATTGCCTTGGTTCCAATAATTCGATAACGAATCGTGATAGTGACAATTGCACACGTACATTACACGCATTTGCGTGTATTAATCGCTTACGAAGTGTTATTTTCACGAACACCTCCGATAGGTATGCGGATACTGGTGATGTTGCTGCTCGACACACTTCCCATGCTGGGCAACGTCTTGTTATTGTGCTTCTTCGTCTTCTTCATATTCGGCATTGTCGGCGTGCAGCTTTGGGAGGGCATACTGCGCCAACGCTGCTTCCTCAAGGCTCTGCCCAATGTCAAGTATCCCGAGTAAGTCGACGAGAAACCTTAGGCCCGCGGACTATTCGTTGACCATTTTTTTTTTATTATCATAGATGTTCGACTCCGATTCTTCACATTATTGCGCCTCACGCTGCATCGCATTTCGTTTTTTCTCCTCTATCTGTCTTTCGATTGCTATGCAGTTTGAAGCGCTCTGTCGCTGATCGTCGCATTTCCGCGAGACGGCGAAACGTGTGAAATTCAATAACTCACATCCGACGATTTGTCATTAATTAGGAATTTTTCGCGACATCGTAAATTTCAGACACCGTAAACGGTAAAGCATCGCGTTCAGCGCAAAATAGTCTTTCAATTTCCATCTAAAGCTCATCGCAAAACTGGTGGATTTAGTTAAGATCAGCACTTCGAAACACTTTCGCTTCTATGTGAAAATTTTATTCTCAGAGCTTTTGCAATAACATACGCCAGAAGACAGTAAACGCTATGGCCCCACGTGCGAAACGAGCAGGAGGAACGATTTTCATTTTACATGAGACATATTTGCGTTTACCGTTTCCAAAGCATGCTATTGCATAAAAGAAAGTCTATTATTCTGCGTACGCAGTTTTTTGCTCGACAACTTTTTGCTTAGATAGAATATTTCTATTTGACACGCCTGCAATTTGTTTTCGTCGCCCAAGACGAAGCGGGTTTCTCCGGGACTTTAGTTATGGGACTTACGTCTGCGAATGTGGACAATCAATGGTTCGAGAGCGCGGCGAGCCAGCCGCACGCGATTCGGCATCGAATTAACAACTTGGTCGTGCGGTTTCGTACCCGCGGAGTCCAACTGTAATCTAATATATCCAGATTGCATGGCGAGTAGAACTCCAATTGTCGCAAAGCATCGCTTGCCGAGTTTTTCTTGCTGTAAATTTAACGCTCCGCTCTCTTCTTCCTTCGCTCTCTGTCTTTCGCCAGTTCTTCTCTGCGCCAGTACTTTGCGCTCGATCCGCTTCTACCAGACGATCGATATTTGCTCAGAATACAGTGCAAATTTCGTAACTCATGCTCACTCCGCTCGGCTTATCACGAAACTACCCATAAAATATCATCGTCTCAAACTTGAGATGGACGCAACTTAACGAAAGTGGATATAATTAAGCACTCTTAGAGCCTACTTACGTTTGCCGTAAGTAACAGAAAATATATCACGAATAATGTATACATCTTTTATTTCTTTTCAAGTATTGTTCTTTCTTTTCGGGAATACTTGCGTTTTAATGTACGCGATATCGATTTAAGCGTCAGAAACAAGAACAATAGTTCCGCTTAACAGTATCTGTGTCATTGTGGAAAACTTGTAGCCTATTTGAAAACTTATATGAATAATTGACATAAGAAGAAAGTCTTGGCATAAAGAAAAATCAGTAAATGTAAACATTGTAAGCTATTTTTCTAGATATTAACAGTGCAAAAGGAAGACAATCTTTTTCTGTCAGGTGAATAATTTAGTATGCGATTATCGAGCTTGTTCTATCGACACTAACATATAAAAATCTTTCCAAAGTAAAAATACTTTTAACAGCATGACACTTACAACGATCTGTCTTGTCAATTCGACTGTTCGGATATCGATTTGAAATTGTTGGCGCGTTCTAGATGAAGAGAAAGATACCGTCGGTGGCGAAAGGGACCATGAGAAGTTCGTGAAAAGCCCTGGATGGATCAGTATGTTCTACTTCCTGAACTTTTGCTTTACAGGAGTATATCACGTTAGGCGATCTAAGACGTTCTTACTCTCGCCTCCCTCTCTCTCTCTCTCTCTCTCTATCTTTCTCCCTTTTTCTTTCTTTCTCCTTCTTCTGCTCTTCGTGACTAAAAAAAAACCTAGACATGTAAGTACATGACCCCAGGGAGGCAGTGACAGGCTATTGTTTCGCTGTTGCAGGTTACTCTCGGACGAGTACTCGGTTCGATCACGCATTTAGTAAGCTCTAGTAGAGAACAATGTGCTGTACATACATATATATCTTTCTCTATCTCTACTTCTATCCCTCTTACTCTCTCTCAATAATACCTAATATGAATCACAGAGTACACATACACGTGGCATCCATATGTACATATATGTATATACATGCAACCATACGTGATGTGCATATGTATATTTCTCTCTCTCTCTCTCTCTCTCTCTCTCCCTCTCTCTCTCTCTCTCTCTCTCTCTCTCTCTCTTTCTGTTTGAATCTCTCCCTCTGTCTCTTCCTCTCTTATCTCTTCTCCCTTAACCACTACTGTACCAGTGTGCGATTGTACCGTAGAATGTACTCACATAGAGCATGTCGACTCGACCGACAACGAATGAAACACTATTTCGTATACTGGCTGCCGATCGAGAAGACGATGGTTCCGAGATCCCCGAGAGCGAGAGAAGAGATCGATCCTTCTAAACTTCGAGATAGTATTTTAGTGTCGGGGCTACTTCACCATCTCCACACTTAATCGTTCTAGCACTGAAGCTCTCCCCTCGATACACACGTTGTACATAAATCGCGTGGGTACGCGGCTCGGAAAGCGGGGGATGATGGAGAAGGGATCCGTAATTTGTGGGCGACCCGGAAACTCCATGCTTCTCCACGAGATTACTATACTCCAACACTTCGGGATCTCTTCGGCTACTTTGATGCACGAGTCGATGTTCTTCCTCTTCTTCACTCTGAACATATATCTCTTCCGTGTCTCGCGCGCCTCTCTCACCCTCACTCTCACTGTCTCCTTCACTCTCTGCCTCTCTATTTTATCCTTCCTCAGCGTGTGTCTATTCGGTAAGCATTAACGATGCTTTCTGCATATGTGAACTATCGTTTAAGCAACTGTGTGCGTGGGTGTGTGCGTGCGTGCGTGTGGCATCGGTGATCTCTGTGGTTTCACTACATCGCACCGCTTTCACGATAGCATACCCTTTTGTTGTGTACAGAGCGTCCCGAACTCAGCGCGATCCATGCACTACGTAGTGAGATTTTTGGTCCATGGATCGGAAGTCGGCGTCTCCGTGAAATGGGAAATTTCTCGTCTCCAATTCTTTACATTGAAAAGAGACGAGAGCTTCGACATTTTAAGGAAGGATCGACATTACTTTTCCCCAAGGACCTCATCACGTGGGACATGGACGCGATATCACAGGCACTCTCGGTATCAATGACGTTGCTGCCAATGACTGTGAAGCGAGCCGAATCCTAGACTTTCACGTCCGCACCTCCCGTGGGACGTTCTGTTCTCGTTCGGATACGATGTGTTTAAAGAACCAAAAGTCGCACGTTTCAAGATCCGCCGTCCTAGATTCGTAGTTGCGCGCCCGGGTGCACAGTGCCCCGGAGTCGTTTTAATTCCAAACTCACATGGCGCGATAGCGCAGTAAGAGAAGTAGGCTCCATAAAGCTCCAAGCCCAAGCCCAGAGAGAGAGCTAATTAAACGCGCGGTGCTCGCGCGGTCTATTCCGGTATACGTAGCAGCTATTTTCGACGTTTATCGACTTCTGCACTGGCGTTACTGCCGTTCTCGCGTCCTGGCAGCGCAGCGCTGGAGCCACGCGGATAGCGATGGCCCTGGAAAGCGATCGGCTCATAATTTTCAAAGCGTGCAAGCCAAAAGTATTCTTCAAAAGACGTCAACGTTTATCCCACGGTTACTGGTGATATCGGAATTCCAGCAAGTGTCAAAAGCAATATCGCAGTGCATTTAGCTTTATGTACAAGTTTAAAGTAATTTTTCATTGTATTTTGAAACAGATATGACTGCAATTGAAAATTTTAGAAACCATTATGTATCCACTTGCTTCGTTTGAGAATATCGAGATGTCATCGCTACTCGCACGAAGCTCGCTGCCAAAATGCGCTCATAGATATGCAAAACGACCAGATTTTTGTATTCACGGATCCGTAATGTGTGGTCTGCTTTGTTTTAAGAGAAAGGCGCGATGATGATAAATGGACGCTAAGTGGTGCATTGCTGTAAATACAGACATTAAAACGGTCTGACTGAAATTATTTCCATATTTTTGCGCACCTTCTTACAAAGCTTCAGGCATCTTTTTGGAATCATATTTTATGATTTCCAAATTGAATTGATTTCGCATCAAGATACAAGCGCGAATAGTTTATCGCAATACGAGAGTCGCGACGAAGCAATACATTATGGGGATTAATATATTGTTAAAAAGTAGGACATCTGGTCACTTTATAAATATATAATATACGAGAGGATCTAGAACGATGGGCACGATCAGCACAGCGAGCACAAACGTGAAGCACACGCCTATGCCGCGTTAAAGGCACGCAAATTAAGGAGAGCACAGGCGATCACGTGCACACTGCTAATTAAGCATACATTGCATAGCGTGTGTTTGGATAACGTAAAATTGTGTCGCATTATTTTAGAAAGTATAACGCCTCGTAACGCAAATATATTCAATATAGGTATATTCCTCTATCGCTCCATGTTTTTCTGTTCGATCAATAAATTTTATCATACGTTTTAAATAAATTATTTCAAGAGGTATGATATGTCGTTGCTGTTATCAAATTTAAGACTTTCGATGGAAAGCGGGATAAAATGCGAAGTGAGATCAATCATCTGATTTTAACGGGATTATCAATCATGAGAACGTCTGAGAATTCAGAATAAAAGACGCCATATTGCGATAGAGGAGTATAATCGAGCTTAGAGAAAGATGGCACAATGCCTTTTGATCCTAAAGGGCGTAGCGTAAAATTATGAATTATCCGTCAGACTCGAGATTTCGTGTTTGCCCATATATTTCGCGCTAATATATTCAGGATTACGCGAACGTATTAATCTGCACACGAAAGAAAGAACGTCATCTCAGTTTTGTTTCCTTTCAATATCTTATAATTTAGAACAATTACTGTGTCACTTTGCCATTTCTATAAAAGGACATTTTGACAACGCGATATCGAAGCTCGATGTCCATCGAGCTGCTTCGTAAACGAGTTTTCGTTTACGTGGCCCGACAACGGCGCGACTTGCAATCCTCGAGGCTAGAAACGGCCGTTCATTTTCGGCATCCACGGTATTGCCGATACTTCTCGGGAAACGCGTTTTAATTGTGTTTCTTTTCGCACCGGCCGTGACTATTTTCGGCGCGACACCAGCCGCGTGCACGCAAACTCGTGTCGGTATACGTATATCTGCATTTGCCTATATTTCTCTCAACCGTTGCGCACGTACGTTGTACATCAGCATCTACATACGTGTACGTATTCTATACTACATGAGGTGTCCGAGAATCATCGGACGAGCTGTCGACCAGTGATATATAAACAGGGTCGAAAGTGTAAGCATGACAAGGCCGATGGGAAGCGCGCCCGATTTCCCAAACAGCGCGCGCTTTATTCGAAGCAATCTCGGCGGGAATGCCGCGTTAAATGTATCGATCAGCTTCGCGGATCAATGCCACAGCGGCGTTACGCTGACAATGATTTGCGCGGCGTAGGTCGTTTACGATCAGCCTTCATTCGTGTGGCATATACATCCTTCGGAACCTATAGCACGGGGAACCCACTCCGATCGATTGCATTTACATATTTTCAGTTAGGTTTCAGTACCCATTTACACAAAAAGCCGCACTGGAAGCTCCTCCGGTAATTCCACGACCCTCTGAATTATATATTATGAATATATGAATATATATATATACATATATATAGAACGAATTACTAAAAACCATCATGTAAAATAGCTTCTTATTATCTCACAATTTGATTGCAATTCGTTGTTTCGGAAAAGATGAGCTCCTTTTCCGTACTAAAACTTGAATGAAATCGTACATATCGTCGACTTTATTTTTCATCCTCGGCAAAATCGCCGCGATATCTTTAAATCACACGAGCCAAAGATAAAACTTGCTCGTGTACGTGATGTAACGTTGTTTCGAATATTTTTCTTTTAAATCGACGCGTTAAGAAGTTACTTTAGACAACAGTTTCCAGTGACTCGTTCTGTATACATTTACGCTATATATACTATATATTATATCAAACACGCTCTGCATACCTACATACAATGTACGCATAAAGCGAAGCATGCGAAGAGTGCATCCGTGCATAATAAGGCATATGTACGCAAGTCTTTAAACTTAAGAATCTATACGTGGGTGATCGGCGTGCGTAGATTTGTAATCGTCGCCCCGTTGGTTTTCCAGCGATCTGGAGAAGTTTTTCGAGTATCAGGGTCAGGATTACATTTGTTCGCGTCCCGACGACAGCGGGATGCACTCCTGCAGTAATCTGCCGCCTCTGAAAGTTGGTAAGTACGCCCCCTCCTCTGCCGTCTCAAAAAATCTCGAGTGAAGTTGCAAAATATAATTTAATAAGATAAATTGCGCAATTTCATAAATTTAACTAAATTTAACTCTCTAACAGCCACGTAGAATTAGATAAAAAATGCTTTATGCAAAAAGCGCTCCGGAAAGTTTCTTTATTACGAGTCCCCCGGTACTTTGAGTACTATCTGGCCTATCACCTTATCGCACATTCGAATAATTGACTGCTTCGTCACCGTAATCGAGCGCAACGGCGTTTTTCGCATTCAGGGAACGTGGTGTGCAACAGTACCGCCGTGCCAAACAGTAACGTCACGTTCATCAACAATGATACCTGCGTTAATTGGAACTACTACTACACCGAGTGCAAGGGCCAGGGCAACAATCCATTCCAAGGAACGATTTCGTTCGATAACATCGGTCTCGCCTGGGTTGCCATATTTCTTGTGAGCGCTTCAGTTACTCGTTCTACATTCGTTCAGAATAATTTACTGTATGCATGTGTGCACGTGCACACGAACGTATATACATGTGTGGCACCGAATATTTCTCCCATCTATGAGTAAAATACATCGACGGCGCCCGAAAGTCGATGGGTATGCGGATCGCGCACATTAGTGCCGAGAGAAAAATTACTCCATCGACGATATTGCGGACGAATTGGTTTTCATTCGATAAGATGTTATCGCGAGTGAGTAATGTGCTAGCTGCAAGACTTGGTATTTCTATATGGTGAAAATGTATGAGGCTTCATTCACAGCGCATTTCCTCTTAACGCGTTTGTAGCATGACTCCCCTGAATAAGCTTCCTTTAATTTTTAACGAAAATTCAGCCATAACGTTTTAACATCTTTACCTGTTAATTTATCAATTGACCAGGTTTGTCACGTCGTCCGCCGCTATTTCGTAATACTGAACAGCGCAATCGTGTCGATTTGTAGGTAATTAGCCTGGAAGGATGGACGGACATAATGTATTACGTGCAAGACGCCCACTCCTTCTGGGACTGGATATACTTCGTTCTCCTGATAGTCGTAAGTGCTCCATTTCCTTCCCCAATTGCGAACGCAACGTGTAAAGCATAATGAGTAATATGCGCTGCCTATTTCTCACATTCCGCGTATTTTCCGCGGATTTATATCGCCTCTTCGAAATATAAATTACTTCCACAATACAAATAATAAACAACCGCTGCATAATTATAGTCACGCCTTTAATGATCAACTAGTACAGCGAAATTGTAATGTAATCCGTGAGGAGATAATGAATACAATGTAAAACAGACCAGCGCGGAGTATATTATGAAAGAATGAAGGGTGGGATATTAAAGAGGGCCCGCGTTTGCAGATCGGCTCGTTCTTCATGATCAACCTCTGCTTGGTCGTAATCGCGACGCAATTCTCAGAGACGAAGAAGCGGGAGATGGAGAGGATGCGGCTGGAGCGCGCGCGTTATCATTCGACCTCGACGCTCGCCTCGTCCACGAATACTTCGGAGCCTACTACTTGTTACGCCGAAATCGTCAAGTGGGTATTCGTCATAGTCGCACGTCGCCCGAGGACGCCGTTCGCCGGATTGCTCCCTCGGTCGCCCGCGAAGGGCTCGCTTTGCGATCGATGACAAAATTTCATGCCTTTTCTTTTCAGATACATCGGCCATCTCTGGCGGCGGGGTAAACGAAGACTGATGAAGAGATATCGCCTGTGGCTGTACAGGAGGCAGCAGAAGCGGGAGCAGAATCTACTCAAGGAACAGCAGAGTCAAACGTCACGTACGAACGCCGCTGCTGTCGGACCGAATCGCGTACCGGGCGGTAAACAATTTCGAATAGAAAAATCGCACTAACCCGCGAGTGCTCGCGCGAGGATCAAACTGATCCAGAACATTTCTAATGCCTAACAACTATTATTTTATTCAACGTGTCTCAACTTATGGTATAATTCATTATAAAGAAAAATGACGAGATTGTTGTCGACACATGGAGCGCGCGCGTTATCATTCGACCTCGACGCTCGTCTCGTCCACGAATACTTCGGAGCCTACTACTTGTTACGCCGAACTCGTCAAGTGGGTATTCGTCATAGTTGCAGATCGCCCGAGGACGCCGTATTGCTCCTCGTCCCTAAAATACGAATAAACTATAATGTGGGTCAAATTGTGTGGTCCGGAAAAGTCACGCGAGCACCAAGGGTTTGGAAAAAGGGGAAATTAAATATGAAACTTGAAAGCGAAATCTCGAAACTTTCCTAATATCGACTTGGATTTGAACTTTCGGAATTGTTGCACGTTCAGATAGAAGACTGCATCACGGGAGGTGTCCGCGGCTTCTCGCCGCGCTGGAATATGCGGAGCAACAGCAGCAGCAGCAGCAGCAGCAGCAGCAACAGGCTGCCGGTGGTAACGGCGGGTCTGTCGCCGATTTCGCCGCGATCACATCTCCGACGCAATCGGCCGTGGCAATCGCCGCCCCCGCGACCGTCGTCAATAGCGTTGGTGGTAGCGGGAACCTGGGCACCGCGCCCCGAGCCAGCCCCGAGCTTTCCGAGGCCGAGGTTTCCGCGAACGTGTGCCACCGATTGAGCGTCCATCGCGCCTCCTCCGTGTCCTGCAACGGGAGCGAGAACGCCGTCGTGGGAAACGCGGCCGAGGCAAGTGTGCATATCGTAGACATGCATGCATACACGTGACGAAATTTTTGTACACGTTCAATGGCGAGCGGCGCAATTGAAGTTCGATAAGCGAAATATCGGAAAATAATTCCCGAGTAACATGTAGTGGTTAAATAAATAAATAATTAATTAATTAATTAATCTAAAGTGAGATAAGTAACGAAATGGGCGAGTATTGATTTTATTATTGGAGGATTATTCATAACGTGAATACTCCGTTCCTCCGGTGCTCTCAATTATGCCGCTTGAGCGTTTGCTCTCTGAAAATATTACACTCGACTTTGATCTTCGTAGGCAACTGTAGGCAAGCAAAAACATTTTTTGTATGACTCGTTTAGCGCTCTTCCCGTTAAGCTATTCTCTTTGCTGACATTTATCTTCTGCTTTACATCGATAGTAGTGTACTTTATAGCGATTATATATGCATTCCACGTAGAAGAGCAATTAGCATTTACGTTTCATCACGTTTCGTCGAGCTCTCGACGGTAATAGCGAGTACGTTTGCGCAAAGAAAACGGTGACTTTGAGCTTTAGGTACGGCAAGATAGAAAGATTCTTCCCTTAATGCTACAAGTTTGGAACGAGAACGGTTACGAGAGAGAGAGAGCGCCTGCCGTAGTGTGTAACACGCGTAACGTATTGCTTGATTATCGCCTTTTAGACGAACAGCACGTTGTTGAGTCCACCATGTACGCATTATCGAAGAAGAAGCAGCGTAATGTTTAGCGACGTGGTACTGCTCCATGGCAGCAATAATGTCGGGAATGCGTTGCAGCCGGGGTTGACGGTGACACCGGGCGAACGTAACGTCTGCTCGAGCGAGAAGATGACGCAGACGGGCGATGGTAACGTTTGGTCCAGTCAGCTGCCGGACCACGCACAGGTAATTTTCCCAACTGCCGTGATCGCTCCGTAAATCACGGAGGGTCTCTTCCCTTCTTAAATAAGACGTCTACTGCCGCAGATGCAGGCTGAACTGGGCGGCAACGAGGCTATGACGTGTCAGGAATTGCTGGCTCTCAGCGGTGCTCTCAGCGCTGCTCTGCCCACCGGCCAGCTAGCACTCGACTCGTTTCTAAATTCTCTCACGAAAGGTAAGTCTACTTGACGTATGACGAACATGATTTATCATAAAACCGAAGTTCGTGAATTATTACAGATTCTTATCTAATACCTTTTCAAAGATCCTTCGGTCTTTAAGTCATTGTTTAGCCATTTTCAAAACTATTAAAATGGAAATTAGTTTATGAAAATATTACATTTTGAAAATATAAAAAATTTTGCTTCATAAGAGGAAGCTTTGTTGATAAAAGTGAGTGCTTTCGAACATCTATGACTCTCATTTCTTTTCTACATTTGGAAAGTAACTGCAAACGGCTACATAAATTCGCGTGACAAGTCAAGACGAAAGAAGAAACGTGAAAATGGATGAATATGCTATCTTATAGGTATAACAGATCGTCACATCACGTTGGAAGAACGCACGCAATGGCTGACGTCTGACGTTGACAATTGTTCCTGTTGCTGCGAGCTGCAGGGAGGCGACCAGTGGCCAGACGACGGTGAGAAGTGGCAAAAGTCCTCGCGGCGTAGACGGTTTCTGAGACGCGCCTGTAGCTGCTGTATCTGCACGTTACGCTGCATAAGACGGTGGATCAAGAAGCTTGTCGAGCACAAGTACTTCCAGCAGGGTATTCTACTAGCCATCCTTATCAACACTTTGAGCATGGGAATCGAGTATCATAATCAGGTGATTCCTCGCTTGAACATTACTTCGGCATCGCTTCGGACCCTTTCGATGTAGCGTGCACCCTCAGAAAGAATTTCTATTACCGAGACAACAAATATTCTTAACGCATTTATATTTCTCACAAGCTCATTGAGTATAAAAATAAGACAACGTCAAAATAAAATTAATAATTCTTATTCTCCTCTATCGAATTAAAAAAGATTGACTTATCATATTGAGACAAGTGTAACTTAATATATTCTTGCGTTTAGAATAAATTTTCCGTCAATCTTACAACGCACGAAGTTGGTACCACGATATTCGACAAAAGACGATACACACTATCACTTTATTCTAGATTTTACAATTTTTCATTTAAGATTAAAATATTCCTTTCTCTATATAATAAATATGATTGGCGCTATATCGATCCTATTTTATGATACATTCAAGTGTAATAGCATGGGATCCGGAAATTTTTTCTGAGGGTGTAATTATTTTCTGTCTTGTTTAAGTTACGATTATCTTATTTATGTCCATGTCTACCAATGCGGATTAACATTGATTTTGGTTTAACATTTTATCTTGTTCTAGTCTCAGGAACTGGAGAAAAATTAAAACGGGGATTAAAATTAATCTGTATTGGTAGAAATGGGCATTAGTTACGAGTTCGATGATATTTCTTACTCTTTGAGTGTAAAGAGAAAAAGGCTGCTGTTCTGTATTATCGCATTTTCACGAGGCTAAAATGAAGATAATACCTCGCAAAATGTAATTACCAATTATGATTATATTACTAATTACGTCGTGTTACATGTACGCAGCCGGAACAATTAACGGTGGCCGTTGAGATAAGCAATATCGTATTTTCGGCAATCTTCGCAGTGGAAATGATGCTTAAGGTAACAGCGGAAGGCCCCTTCGGTTATATCAGCAATGGCTTCAACGTTTTCGACGGCATCGTCGTAATCCTGAGGTAGAGCCATTTTCTTTATAAATGTTTAACATTATATTGTAAAACATTATAACAGCACTCGTGTGAATCGTAAAGAATGATATTAAATCAGCATCGACGTAATATCGATGTTTTGTAAGATGCATAAACACACACACACACACACACACACAACTATCAGCACAATTTCCTCGATCTCATGGCTACGATTTTACGAGAAAACCATAATGGGGCAAACTGTTGTGGCTGTCTCGTAAAACTGTTCGCTAACGGATCGTCTACAACGAGCTAACAAACAACGACATTATTGCGCCTCTTGCAACGTGTTTATAGCGTCGTCGAGCTCTGCCAATCAGTCGTGGAGGAACGCAGCGGTAGTTCCGGTCTGAGTGTCCTACGTACCTTCCGCCTCCTCAGGATCCTGAAGCTGGTGCGATTCCTGCCGAATCTGCGACGACAGCTCTTCGTGATGCTGCGCACTATGGATAACGTTGCCGTATTCTTTTCTCTTTTAGTACTTTTCATCTTTATATTCAGGTAAGTCGCCGCCCTATCTTCGTCCGCGTCAGCGATACTGCCGGATTTCCGGGCCACGGGCCCGCGTCGCCGGATCTTCTCTCCGTTTCTCTGTTTCTTTTCTCTTTTTTTTTTCTTGCGTGTGTGGCCGCTCGCCCACTTCGCGAACCGGTACCATCGCCGATGGGATCAATCCGATGAGTTCGACCGCGAGGAAACCGTACCTGCGCGTCGCGTTTACTCGGATACGGGGCGCTGTCGCGTCTTCCTGTTCTAATTATCATCTCATCAGCCTAGTAACGTTTGCATGTCTGGCAAGGCGGATCGAAGTTACGAAACTGCCGATAGGTATTGTCGAGTAAATTGGGCAAGATCTTTGAAATATAAAGCGTCGATGACGGTAAGAAAATGGCCATTAATTCTAAAATATAAAATATTAAACGTTGTGACTTAAATATATATCACTTTTTTGCCAGTTTAGTCGATTTAAAACAAAAATTTCCCCTTGCTTATAAAATATTTGGTCAAGAAAGTCACGAAAACGCTCGAGGGACTTGGGACGTGTTCCATAATAACATTAATATCGCCCCTGGTGATAATAACGATAGAAGCTATGTTTAATAGTTAAATTGTATCCATGCTACTGCCTGTAAATCTAAGAACTAATGTAATTATAAGAGCTCTGATACCATATAAAAATATGATCAGAGTCCTAATAATCCTCTTAAAAATTATTTGTAGACCTTCGCTAACTCTTAAAAAAATAAGAATAATCCAAAATGGATATGGAAATGTATTAAAAATTTTTCACATAAATACATTCTTATTTTGATATAAAATATTATACTTATATACTTGAAAAAAACATATAATAATCACAATTTTCTAAGTTAAATCTTTCTTCGTTTTCGTTTAATTATTCACATTGGGCAGCACGTTAAATTGAATTATGTGTATTTCGATCATACGACGCTTGATATTTCGAGAACAGCATCTTGCTCGCTTCTACGAGCTTTTGAGCTTCAGGAGCAAAATCGCGCGCCGCCGCTGCTCTTCGAGCCGAGGCCTACATTAGGTGACTGTCTTCCGTTCACATACCTTTCTCTTCTACTTTATTCGCTTTTACTTAATTTCCGCGCGGTGTATGAGCCGCCACCAGTTAATGCATATCACATATATATATATATAGAAGTTCTCAAGTTTTTACCAGCAGTTGTCCCGTGTTCTCGCGTCTCCTAGCGTTTCTTTGAGCGGCATATTTTCTGACGTTGTTAATGGTAATGACGATGGTATTTGTTGGCACGATCTATTACGAGGGGGGCGCCGGTCTGTTGCCGGCCCCCCCTTTATGGCTTGAGGCATCAAACGTACTTTCGACGTTTACCTAGAAGATATATAAATATATATATACGTATATGGAATATATATTTACATGTGTGTGCATGTGATGCTTTTCTGCTGGACGTCTTAGCGACGAGTATGAAAGGCTATATGTATATATATATATATTTACTATCATCATATTCTTCATTTATATTCATATATACACGTGAATCTCTCCCGCTGTCATTCTCTCTTGCTACTCTGAGCGCCTATATTAAGTGCGTGCGCCTCGGTGTGGCCCTCGATATTAGAACAGCTTGCGAATGTTCGACATATATCCCCTCTCTTCTGCAGAGTTACATATATATACATATATATATATATATATCTCATCATGCTGCGTAGGACCTCCTGCTATATACATCCGTGCGTTTACGACGCGTTTTACGACCGTCCGATAGCCGATCTGCCGTTCACCGCAGCCCTCGCTATTGCGATCTCGATACTGCAAATGATTGCCCGAAATCTGCCGCAGACACGTAGACGCAAACATTGAAAATTTCCCCGTACTTTAGCTTAAATAATCAATTTAACGTTTAAAAATTGAAAAGCAAGATTTATTATTACTCGAGCGAGGAATCGGGGAATCTCTTATTGAAATACTAGAAACTTGTTTGGACTTTATACCAACAATCGTGACAGCAGGAGTCTTATCAATATTATTTTTATTAGAATAGAGTCGGAAATTAACGTATAAGGTGTAAGTTACACGCGCATATTTCGGAGAAGACCATGAAGAAAAGAAAAAAAGATGGAACATTCGGTAACGCATTTCGCTGACGCAAATCCAGATGATCCCTTGCCGTTCAAAAGTCTCTTCGAGCTAAAGTGAACCTTCGAAAGTGAATACAAAGTCGCACGGAACTATGCAAATGCTCGCGGGTACGTCTCTGCGCACCGATCCGTAGACATCTTCTTCGACGGCCATCTCTAGGTGTTTGCATCTTTCTTTAGCCGCGAATGAAGTTCCGATAGATCCGCTTTAGAGGAATTTTTCCTTCCTTGATCGGCCGGCGCTAAATATTGAAGTACTCACGATGTACTTGCATTGGGATCGCAAGCAAGAGATCCCGACACACTCGGCCAAGGTTTCAGATTACGATGGACGACGAAAGTTCACGTTAAAATCGATTCGAGCCTTCTCGAGTGCTTCGAAAAATCGGAATTATCTCCCGTATACATTTGCCTTTACGGAGGAAATACGCCATGTACCTACGAACGTTATACTTTACGACGTGAAGATCGCGAAAAGATATCGCTCGATCGATTTTGTACTTCCGTCGTATCACGGCATATGTGAAGTGTCGTAAAACTACCGGATATTCATTCAATCATAGATAAATTCAACATTGAATGTTATTTTTGGCGGGGCTTCTGTGAATTAGTTGATCTTATTAAGTAAACTCTACTTAAATAGATTTCTAATTTAGTAACTTCCCCCCCCCCTCTCTCTCTCTCTCTCTCTCTCTCTCTCTCTCTCTCTCTCTCTCTGAGAATAATTACTGTTCAAAGTTAAAATGTGACATTCTCCCAAAACGTTTTCTTTAGAAAAAAATCTCTTATTCCTTAAGAAAACCCCCCTACTTTTGTCATCGAATTCATCAATCAGTTGGAAGGATATCCGATGGTTTTTAGAACATTTAAATATTTATCTACGCATACAGCAGACGTATGCACTTTGAATTGATCAGTCACTTGGCCGAGTCATGCTTTATAAATCGCGATTCTGTCTTAATCGAGCTTTGTCCCCTCCCCTCTCTCTGTTTATTCTCTCTTTATCATTCTTTGTCATTTTATCTCAGTCTACGTATATATATATACATATATATATGGATAAGGAAGTACATTGCACGTTTCGTTGTGTTGTAGTATTCTCGGGATGAACCTGTTTGGTTGCAAATTCTGTGAAACGATGAAAGGCAGCTCTGACGTCGAGTGTGATAGGAAAAACTTTGACTCGTTACTCTGGGCTATTGTGACGGTGTTTCAGGTACCTACCAAAAAAAAAAGAAAGAAAGAAAAAGATACTTTTTCACGTATCTTGTCGAGGGCATTTTTGACTTCTCTATATATAGTGTATATTACTTATATATATTTATTCGTGCATATATATTAACGTTTGTACTACACCGCATCTACATATATATATATACGCTAAGTATACATACGTACTGTCACGTTTTTTTGGTTTTCCGACAAGTTAAAAGTCGTGCGATCTCTCGCAACGTGCGTCCGCCTGCACTTTATATGATTTCTGAGGCCTCAGGTAACGTATACTGGGAGATAAGTGCTTTCCAGCATGTCGTCGTCATTTCTTCGACGGGGGGGGGGGAAGGGGGGGAAAGGCAGGAGGAGGCTACCGGTACCGACTTTAGAAGTAATAGAGATATCGGCGAAGTAATTGCGTAAGTGTCTGGTTTTTTTTTCCTCCGAGGGAGATTATTCTTCAGATCACGTCTTCAACGTCTCTCACTTTTTGTGACGAGTATATTGAGGAAAGGGATGGCAGGAAAAAGCCTGACTAGAGCCGGTGCTGGGGGCTCACACAGACGTTGCACGCGGATTATCCGGTGTGGATTATCAAACGTTGCATACGATTGCCGGCGATAAATCCGGTGCTTTTTTTCATTTCGCGTCTCTTCGCAAGCACAGCACGCGCGCGTTAATGATACGCTGCCTCCTGCCGCGTCTTCTGCGAGCGCGTCGAGCTGGCTCCCTTCTGACATGCCTTCGCATGAATCTGTTATATATATGTGTGTCGCAACGAGCAAAATTGCCTGTATCTCATAAGCGTTTCAAGGAGTAGTTGTCAAAAGTGGCACAATCTTCGAGCTTATAATGAAAGCTGAAGGATCGTTTGTAACAATTCCGTATAACATTGAATCTACATATTATTGAATCGAACGGAGTTTTCACATAATGCAGGCATTTTCGCTCAGGAATCAGAGAAAACTGCTTGGACGCTTCGCTTATCCCTGTGTCGGCAATGTTGACGTTACTTTTATGTCGATGTTATCAGAGTAGATGGTCTTAGTTACAATGTTCGTTGCGCCATCGGAATCCCTAACGACGCAGGAAACACCGAGGGCCGGTGTATAAAAGTTTCGCCGATAGATCTCGATACGGTTTCGAATGATGGAAACGACAGGATCAGACTTGATAAGATCCTAAGACACATATGCGAGAAATTCAGTCTTTCATTTCCGTACGTTTATCAAAACGTCATTGAGCAATCAATGCCTATTGCGCGTGTCCAAACGAGGAGCAACAAACGCAAATAATGCAATGTCTAAGCTATAAGTACAACGGGATGACAAGAAAGTTGAAAAGACATGGTAAAGCCGTTCGGAAGACGAGTCGACGTTTTCTGGACGTTTCCTTGGAATATTTGCGTTGTTTGATAACCACCCTAGGATCGCCCGGATACGCCATATCCTGCCTAAATGACACGGTAAATGGCTGTTCTAGGATTACACGGCGATCCGAGGATTGGCACTTTGTCCTAGCTTGGACCTGCCGATATACCGACGGAAATGAGACTCTCGCCCGGTTCATACTCGGTGCAACGCGCGTGTGTTGCGCAAATTGCTTTGCATGCGATGTATCTTCTTAGGCATTTTGTTCGCCACTGTCGTCGTTGTTGTTGCCGTCGTCTTTTTTGTACCGCGCGTATATATCACACCTTGCTGCACATCACGTCTCGTCACGAAGATTGACATTCATGTATCTCACTACAAATCTCTGCCAGTTACACTGCTAAAAAGTAGCGTTGCTATCAGCGATCGATCTCTCGTACGTCGCGGCGACACCAACAAGTAGCCGCGAGTCGCGTTTTTCTCGCTGATTCTCTCGCAGAATTAGAAACGAGAATCGTGCTTCTTCACACACTTCTTTACCTGCGATAATTTACGATATCACGTCACACATTTTTAACAGTGTAGCACAAGAAACTGTTCTCTGTCTCACACGCTTACTTTTCTCTCTCTCTGTGTCTCCACTATACTTCACTATACTTCACTGTACTTCACTATACTTCACCTCACCACTTACGACATTACACTTCTCTTCGTATCTGTCCTCTACCTCTCTCTCTTTCTCTTCTTCTTCTCTCACTCGTTCTATCCTTTTCTATCACTTTCTCTCTTAAACGCCCACGACGACTCGAGCGCAAAAAGAACTTCGTCCCGGATTGTTACAATGCGTGCGTGAAATATCGACTCGACCCGACAGCAGAACCGCCGCGTCAGCAAGTCCCTCATAATTGAACACCCGAGGACCTGAGATGAGACCCCGCGTCCATCGCACACGAATAACACGAACAGAGAGCGTTTTTTTTTCCCCACCCTCTAGGTAAACCAATACGGATTAAATAAGATTCAACACGTAGATTTCAGGCCGAATAACTAAACAGCTTTTACTCTCGTTTACCATCGCACGTATTTGCATCTATTTGAAAGTAAATGCTCATTTAAAATTGTTATTATATACTTTCTTACCAAATATGTACATACATATATTCCGAAAGAGAATGCTTTATATAGAGGTTGGATCAGATTTGATCCAGCTCTGGTAGCCTGATTTATCAGGTTATTACGGTAGTCCGAGGAGCTACCAATTAGTACTTTTTAGTCGTAGTGGAGAGAGACACCATTCCTTTTGACACGTAATCTTAGAGATACGAGCCAGGTAGACACGCGCAAGGCACGTAATATCGTATTAACATGAGCAGTCTCGGTAGATTTGTGCGTACCTCTTGTAAATACTCGCTGAGACAGATACGCCGTAATACATATTATACCGTATTTGCGTATTAGAACATTATTATATTTACGCTTGTGGCAATTATCCCCTTTTCCTCTCTCTCTCTTTCTCTCTCTCTCGCAAACGTTCGCCGTGACATTCTGCAACGACAGGTGCCTTGTTTTCCCCACTATTCTCTTCTCTTCGCGACCGCGTATACCCGGTGTGCTCTCTTTCCGCCCCGTTTATTTTCACGCCAGTTTACATCCGTAAGGTGTGTGTGTGTGTGCGGATATCTGTCGACCCGGGCGTTGATTTAAAAGCTCTCGTCATATTTACCCGCGTTCGGCGTGCCCCCTACTACTACTTCGCTTCAACGTCAACGAAACGAAATTCGCAAGAAAAATCAGTCGGCGTAATACAACTGACAGACTCGACAGACAATTTCTTTAGCGCACGCGCCCGAATAAATGTTTATTATGACTTCCGCGGATCAAACGTCACGCCGCGTTAAAGTCAATTATTGTTTCAACGCGCGTCCTAAAATTAGCATTATTGATTGCCCGCATGAAACATTAAACAATTAATACGCTCGTATGACGCATTACGCAGAGAGATTATATGACGTTTGCGAATGCATACGAAATGTCGGATTTATATTGACGTCTCTTGGGCTAATTCCAGGGCTAATTGAGTGTACTTTAATGAAGGAATTCCGCGATTATTCTTTGAGAAAGGGATAACCAATTTTGGGAATTTTGATTCTCGTTCCTTGCTCCGTCCCGCCGTATAAAGCCCGTTACAACCGCACACAGTCGATACGATCCGCCCACAATCCATAAATGTATACCTACTTTACACGCATTCGCCTGTATTGTTACAAATATACAAGATACATATATTTATATATATATACTGACACGCCGAACTTGCAGAATGTGACTGTACGAGCTTCGAGTAACAGTCGTTTTCGCTGTTTTGTCCAACACAGTTGCTTAATCCCTTACCGATACGCAGTGCCTCCGTTCTCCAAAAACCGAATCTGTTAAGATCAATTCTATAAATTGGTTTGGAAATATCTGGGTGCTAGAGAATGGGTTTGAGAAATTCCGAAATTGCGCAATCTTAATTAAATATGCATCTTTTGTGATAAATTTAATTCTTTGGCTACTAGATGGATGTGTGCGTAACGATATTCACCTTTGATTTAATATTACTTAAAAATTTTCGTGCTACACGTAGTGCGGTTTACCGCGAGATATAAAAGCGTTAAAGTCGGATATTTATATCTGTAATGTATATCTATTGGCACGATGAATGGAAAAATCGAAAAAGTGTCGTATCGCGCGCAAACACATACACACATACGTACAATAAGAGTTAAAAATAGACGTTTCTCTTTGTGAAAGTATTTTTAAAATCTGAGCTTTAAGCCTAGATCGTTACTTTGAGCATTTAAGCACAAAAATAACGAACTGTAGACTAAAACGAGTAAAAACGATTTACTTAATAAACATTGTTATCGCGCATTCTGACAATCCAGAAAGCTAAGCTGAAAATCGAGCTGTCGTACGATTCATTTGTATTAAACAAATGGAAAACGATGGTATTTTGTATTTAATTTTCCATTTTTTTCTTCTCTTTAACCGGATATGTTTTATAGATCACCAACTTTGTCGTGGTCAGCTGTCAGCTGTCAATTGATGCAAAAATGCTACTGATCGACGTAAATGACGTCAATGGTTGGTACAATATTCGCAGCCAAATGTCACTGGCGCAAGAGAGAGGTCGTTACGACCGGATAAAAGTTAATCAATTATACTTCCTGCGTAATTAATTACTTGAACGATGAGATCGATTGTATATAGTGCGGTGAGAACGGAGACACTGAAGGACGATCGTACCAAGTCCCAGTCCTGTCAACCACTGGTCCCAACCTCATCCTCCCCACTGTTGATCTCTATCGCGGGGATACTTTAGGCCAGCGGATTGTCTCGGTTGCAGCATCCTAGGAATGTACCTGTTCGGGGGTAAGTTTTGCATGTGGGCGGACCGGAGTCGGCCCTGCACCTGTGCCGAGGTGGTCTCGCGGCACCCAATGTGTCGCTGTGACCGCAAACATTTCAACGACATCGTCTGGGCACTAGTCACTGTTTTTCAGGTACCACTGTTCCTCCCTCTCTTAACGCTATGTCATAACGGGATTTTTTTTACATGTTTAAAGCGACATACACGTATATATGCGTAGCCAATTTTGCGTGTACACGGTCTTTTTTCTCCTATCTATATTCGTGTCCACGTTCTCTCTCTTTCTCTCACTCTCTCTCTCTCTCTTTCTCTGTACAGATCGCCGGATCGTATATATATATGTATATATACATATATTTCTTTGTGTTGAGCAAACGGACCCCGACATCTGATCCCAACTGTTCCCTAAGCCCGCCCACGCTTCGTCCATTCTTCTCTCTTTGTTATCCGTACCGAGTGACAGAGCCTTTAATGGTTGCTTTGTATTTACATGCGTGCAATCGGTATATACGTATACATGTCGACGTTCACGTTCACCATTTCGTTTGCTCGCGCAGATCAAGCTGCGCGACGACTACTCTACCCACGAGCGTGCTGTGATCTCGATTCAGCACACGCATCATCCGTGTAAAGCAACAAATGTGCTGCAGAAGCCGCTCGAACGACTTTCTGCCTTTCTATCACGTGTTTCCATTCACATCTGTATTCTACGATGCAGTCTGATGGCGTATCGATAACTCTCGAAATTTGTCGCTGTACAATTAATCTGTAATTCTTCTGTAACGTAAATAATCTCCATATCTCTGCGTTCACTCGAGATATTTGCACGATAACTTGAAAAGACAGAATAATGAATATGTCAGTTTCATTTTAATTGTATGTATCTATCGTTTAATCTCATTCTTGTGTTGTACGCGCAAAAATTGTTCAAATTCGTATTTGATGGAATAACAGCTACTATGATACATTTTTGCGCATGTAAATAACAATCCTACTAACGCTCGATACTAATCGTTCGGTACGTTGGATTAATTTCCTTTGGATGTTAATGATTTCTTAAATTTTCAAACAGCGTGTAACGTTATCAGGCTAAAAGGAGAAGTAAAAGATAGATTGGAGAGTTGATAAAGATAGATAGACGAATACGTGGGTAGACGAAAGCTCTCGCAAAGAGAAATTCGTGATAGAAAACACGACGCATGCATCTTTACTCAAAGTATTACGACACTGGTTGGCAAAACGTTTCGTGCATCTCGAATAATCGGTACAACACCGATTTGTTTCGTCTCTCTCTCTCTCGTACTCTCGCGTTTGCATGTGGTCCATCCAAGTGGTTTTGATAAAAGTGATTTAGAGAATATTCTGTAAAAATTAATTGTCTGCCTCCGAATCTTATCAATACAAATTCAGTCCAGCTATTTAATACGCTTTTGTACTTCACGTGTTTGTTTCACATAAACGTGAATAACTGCATCTAACGTAACGTATAATTCAACATCTGAAATACCGCACGGAGAGAATTTTCTCTTAAAATTTACCTTGAAATTCATGTAATTGTGGGACAACATGACATTTTGAAGAACTTGAGAAGAGTTTTTGAAATTTTACCATATATTCTACTAGCAAAATGTATGGTAAAATTTCAAGAAAGTCTTATAAAATTCTTCAAAATGCCATGTTGTCCCACAATTACATGAATTTCAAGGTAAATTTTAAGAGAAAATTCTTTCCGTGCGTATTGAAAATTATTGACACCACCGTATTAATATTAATATTCTAACGGCCGAGTTAATAGATACAAAATCTTTAAGTGTTGACAAATATACATTCATTGTGCATAATAATATCACAATGTTGTCACAATTATTAATTTTATTATTACAAGCTCATTCCGTTTATCCATTGATCTCAATTACTCAATCGTATTCATTATACATTGCAAACACACATATATACCTACAACAAACATACGACTTAAATCTTGACCACAAACATAAGAGATTTTTTCATTCGCGAGCATGTTTTACCTGCTACATAAATTTTTACATTACGTAAATTTTTGGCACGCTTCGAAAGAAAGAACGTCTTGCCGATCACGTGCCTTATCAAATAAGTGTAGACAGCTACGCCATTTTGTATGCAGCGGGAGTCTCTTCCCATTCCTCTTTTTATATAGATCCTCACGCAGGAAGATTGGAACGTCGTCCTCTTCAACGGCATGCAGAAGACGTCTCATTGGGCTGCACTTTATTTCGTAGCATTGATGACCTTCGGCAATTACGTCCTCTTTAATCTTCTAGTCGCCATTCTCGTTGAAGGTTTCTCGTCAGAGGTAGGAATTAATAAATAATACGCCATTTTCTTATTCAGTATCTGACGTATAGCAAGACACATAAATATATGCCATTTCAGTCTTTCAATCCGTATTAAAAATCTAATAACTGTTTTATATTGCAGAGAAAATTGTCCTAATTTAAATTTAAGAAAATTTAATTTCTAATTATACATACGTGAGTATATATAAGAAAAGTATGATAACAGCTGGTGTATTTCGCAGAGAAACGAGAGGAGAGAACGAGAGCAGAGGGAATTGGCGAAAAGGCTCGCTGCAAAAGAGGCTGGAATGGGTAGCGAGGACGGATCGTCGAGAATATCGGGATCGCATTCGATCTCTGACAGCGATACGTATACACAGGTAGTTGCTCGCGGTTGCTCCAAATAAATAAATCCAGTATTCTACGCTCGTTTATTCCCCATTACCTGTCACTCGGAGAAAATTGATTGTGAAGGTCACTCTATTTTGGAATATTCTCTTCGTTCAATCATTTCCGAACCTTTTACAGGAATTTTACAGGAATTTTAATCGGTATAAAGTTTCACAAAATATTTAAAATATTCGAGGCATGAATTAAATATGCAAAAAAAAACGTAATTTTCCGATTTTTCTTTTATTTCATCGAATTCACTACTTAGAGAAATACGAGTAGAATTGTCACGAGATTTATCTAATGAATTGACTTATCTCAAAATCAGATGTGACTCATTGTCAGTTTTATACAGCTGTCAATTTTCCCTCAACTTATACGAGGCGATTTGTAGGATCAAAAGAATTCGTGGCAGAGCGCGGAAGAACTCAGGAAGTACAAGGACAACAGGGAGAAGCAGAACAGCGTATGGAAACAGCGGATCGATGAACCTAAGTGTAACATCCAGAAAGAGAGCAAGATGATGGGTGTGGCAGGTCAGCCGCCGATAATCACTCATACGGCAGCCACTCCACAAGACTCCCCGAACACCACGTTGGACGTCGGCTACAGAGACCTCAATTGCCGAGCAGTTTATCCGGCTGCTGCCCTTTCAATCGAGTCGATCGATCGATCTGGCGTACGTTGTTTCATTTCAATAAGAAAAAGAACTCATAGTTGTTACGCGCAGGCAAAAGTGTTCATTGCTCGATTGATGTAATGAAACGTTCGCGTCTATACTTGAAAATAGAAACTTTTCCGTGTTTCTTTTGCATCGATTAATATCTCGATGAAATTGTCATACGATTTTTAATTGAAAGGTCTCCTACTGCATTTCGTTAGAATACCAGATTAAGGGAGGTGCATTACGAGAGAAAATAAGATAATGACGAGTGCTTTGTATTCGCAGAGTCAGTGCAGTATACCCTCGGGGTTGCTAAAACTACCCGACGTATCCAACAAAATACCGACGAATAACTTAATAGCTGGTCAATTCCCGAGACGCATAAGCCTCGTTACGGCCGTTGTTAATCCCTCGACGAGGGACTCGAGTTCTAGGTATATGTGTTTCGTCGCTTCTCGGTTGCATCAAATGCCGTTCCCTTTTTTTCTGATACCGCTTCTTTCCACTTCAGTCCGCCGAGGGTACAAAGAGGATACTCGTGGCGCTTGTCACGGCCATCTTTGCGGAGGAAACGATGGTCGCAAAGCGATGACGAACACACCGGCCACACGACTGTACTCAATAATGGGCGCAGTACTCTCGTTGGATCCAATCTAACGTGAGTCGAGAAAAATATTACGTATTCCGAGTCGCTCGGAGAACATAAATAATTAAGCGATCAATTATCAACCTTTAAATGATTCAGCAGATAAATTTACGAGGGATTCCTACTTCAGATTCCTATTTTAATTCAAAATTTGTGTTTCGTTAGTTCTGTCTTATCCATGTAATAAATTATTACGAAAATAATGAAATAAAAAATATATTACGCAAGTTGTAACAATAACAATTAATATGCGATCTCTTGCAGATTTAATGGCGGTTACTTACACGGTTCGATAAGAAACGATACGCAACGCGACGCACCCAATAATCGAACTACCGTCCTGACAAGCAATAATCGTAGTTTGAGTCCTAATAATTCACTTGACAGCCACGGCCCATGGTCGATTCGTCGTTACACAGTTACGCCTAATCAAGTGAGTTACGACATAATGCCTTTGTTGACACTTACTATGTCGTAAATTATTACTTTACCGTCGTGTTAATTTTACGCAATATGAGTTGAGAACATTCATATCTTTTAACTACGGAACTCTCTTTAACTCTTTAACTCTTTAACTACAGAAGGTGCTATTTAAAGTATAACAATGAATCAACTTATGTATAACAATATGAGCGTGTAACGTTTTATACATGATAATCTTTAACAAGAAGAACATTATTGTCGCCAGTAATTGATTATCAACAGGAAAAAAATTGTTTAACGACTTTACACTGGCTGGGTAGTTTAATTTAACAATTTATTCCAACGTTTCGACCATCCGGATTGTGGTCCTTTTCAAGGAAGGTCCCTTGAATCCCATAATCCTTGAGCCCCACAATCCGGATGGTCGAAACGTTGGAATAAATTGTTAAATTAAACCAGCCAGTGTAAAGTCGTTAAATAATTTTTCTCCCTGATGATAATCTTTATTTGGAATTATTGGAAGAAAAGGGTTTTCCACGAATCCTTAAGGAATACAATTACTGAAACATCACGCCTTGCAGATGCGATGGGTCGGCGAGCTTTCTCGGAGGAATTCACTGCGCGGTTACGAGAATGTTCAGACGTCCACGAGGAAGACGCTGCCACTGGACGAGATGCTCGCGCCGTCCTCGACCCCACGCACGATCAACAATCTCTCGATGGAGACCGGTCCACTGCCGAGAATCAAGCGACTCCACGAACGGGAAGAGGAACGTGTGAGAACGGGCGAGCATACGCCGCCGTCGAACGGCCACGGTAGCGCGAGCAGCATTGAGAAAATCAAAAAGATATTCATGTTCTTCGAACCTAAGGGCTGCCTGCAGGAGCGTGACAATTATTCCTTGTATTTATTCCCACCAAATAACAGGTACTACTATGAATAGGAATCACGTCGTTTGATTAACATTTGAAAATTTTTATCTCTTATTTCTAGCTAAACCTACTGCACCGGTTCAGAGTTTATCTTTTTCTTGCCAATGTAGAAGGAAAGAGATAAACTCTGAACTGGTGCAGCCAGTTCAGCTAAAAAGAACAGACACTTTGCGACGAACGAGATGTTACGACGGAGATATAATAATAAAGAATGACGTAATAGAACAAACACAATAGAAAGTAAAGCAACTTATTAGAGAATAAAATGCAAATTTTGTTATGTAACATTATTATTAGACTTGAGTGAATAATAAGAAAATTGTGACGACTAGAGAGTGATGTACGACTCATAGTGTTCTCGATGCCTGCAGATTTCGCATTTTGTGTCAATGGCTCGTGGATCAAAAATGGTTCGACAATGTGGTATTGTTATTTATCGGATTAAATTGCATTACTCTGGCGATGGAACGACCGAACATACCGCCGGACAGTCGCGAGAGACTTTTTCTGGCCACCGCGAATTACATTTTTACAGCCGTTTTCGCCATTGAGATGTTTATTAAGGTAACGCACCAATACGTCTTGGAGATTTTATCTGTAACATTCATATAATGATAATTTTGGACAAAAAAATTGATATCTCAAGGAAACTTTTGTTTCCCGTTAACTTAAAACAATAAAAGAGAGAAATTATCATAATTATAAAAGCATGTATGATTTAACGTTATTATTTTAGGTTGTCGCAACGAGCATGTTGTATGGTGCAGACGCTTATTTCACATCAGGCTGGAATATCATGGACGGGTCTCTCGTTATCATTTCTATAATTGATTTATCGATGTCGCTGCTCTCAGCCAGTAGCCCCAGAATATTTGGCATATTAAGGGTAAGACTGTCATCACTTGTTAACAAGTACGTTGCATTTTCCAATCCTCGCTTGAACAGCTATTTTGACTATCACAAACGTATGATGAGACATTTATCCGGATATATACTGTCCTATGAAAATTAGAAATTTAATTTTTAACGTTTCGCTCGATATTAGATTTGATGTATAATTAATTTAGACTAAAGAAAATTGTAACAAATATATAAATAAGTTAGACTCTTTCAATGTTTAATGATGTTACGTTAATGTGGGAAAAATGTAGGTATTTAGACTGCTGAGATCGCTGAGACCTCTGCGAGTCATCAATCGTGCACCTGGCTTAAAACTGGTCGTCCAGACATTGCTGTCTTCGTTGCGACCCATCGGCAACATCGTTCTCATCTGCTGCACGTTTTTCGTGATTTTTGGCATCCTCGGGGTGCAGCTGTTCAAGGGTGCGTTCTATTACTGCGAGGGCCCCGATATCAAGAACGTACGCAATAAAACGGATTGCCTGTCCGACAAGCGAAACGTGTGGCTAAACAGAAAGTACAATTTCGATGATCTTGGCAAAGCCCTTATGTCGTTATTCGTTTTATCGTCGCGAGATGGATGGGTAAACATCATGTACACCGGTCTAGACGCTGTTGGGGTCGATCAGCAGGTGAGTAAATCCCAGCGAATGGCAATTTTTCCTTTTGACAATGTTTTTCTGTCAATTGATCGCACAGATATCTTTCCACGCATTCTGGTTTTGATAAGCAGACTTTAATTTGTAGCAGGAACATTTTTTGTAGCGTGAATAATTTTTCAAGTGTATTCAAAGCAGTGCCGCTTCGGTTTAGGTCTCTATAAAGAATATAATTGAATTCAAATGCTTGTATAATTTTCAATGATCTAACGAAACGAATTAATTGCAGCCTGTCGAGAATTACTCCGAGTGGCGATTATTGTATTTCATCGCATTCATATTGCTGGTGGGTTTCTTCGTGCTGAACATGTTCGTCGGCGTGGTGGTCGAGAACTTTCACAGGTGCCGCGAGGAACAGGAGAAAGAGGAGCGCGTGCGAAGGGCGGCCAAGCGCGCGTTGCAGATGGAGAAAAAAAGACGAAGTGAGTGACCGCCGGGTCAGCTAGGTTTAATGCCACTTCTACATGACGCGGATTAGGAGACGAGGGTTGTCGATGTATGCAACGATGATGATGATTTTCAGAGATGCACGAAACGCCGTATTACACCCGTTACTCCAAATCGCGGCTGTTCGTCCACAACGTCGTGACGTCCAAGTACTTCGACCTGGCGATTGCCGCCGTTATCGGTCTCAATGTCGTCACGATGGCGATGGAGTTTTACATGATGCCGAAAGCGCTCACTTACGCGTTGAAGATCTTCAACTACTTCTTCACCGCCGTCTTCATTCTCGAATCCATAATGAAACTTGTCGCCCTCGGCGTGCAGCTCTATATGAAGGATAAGTAAGCACCTGTTATTCCTTTTAGTATTTTTGTACACGTGTACACGTGTTGTCAAGACTCGCGCTTGGTTGTAAGATAAGCGCAGCGTGTGGTCTCGTAAAGAAAAAATCCAAATAACATTCTTCTTTCAGGTGGAACCAATTGGACGTGGGAATAGTGATACTGTCAGTAGTCGGCATCGTGCTAGAAGAGGTCGAATCTAAGATTATCCCCATTAATCCTACAATAATTCGCGTAATGCGAGTGTTGCGAATAGCCCGGGTGTTGAAGCTGTTGAAAATGGCGAAGGGCATACGCGCCCTTTTGGACACGGTGATGCAGGCATTGCCGCAGGTCGGCAATCTGGGGCTGTTATTCTTTCTACTCTTCTTTATATTTGCGGCGCTAGGAGTGGAACTCTTCGGTCGACTAGGTAATTATTACTCCCAGTACGGCTCAAGTTAATCAGCTCCTATACGATCATAGAAATGGATAGCTTTGTAATTGAACGAGGCTAATTTTTTTATCGCAGAATGCAACGATGAAATGCCTTGCCAGGGTCTTGGCGAGCACGCGCACTTTAGTAATTTCGGCATGGCCTTTCTGACGCTTTTCCGGGTCGCCACTGGTGACAACTGGAATGGAATCATGAAGGACACGCTGAGGGACGATTGCGACGATGCGGCGGACTGTGTGAAAAATTGTTGCATCAGCAGTATCATCGCGCCGATATTTTTCGTCATTTTCGTTTTGATGGCGCAGTTTGTACTGGTGAACGTCGTTGTCGCCGTGCTGATGAAACATCTAGAGGAAAGTCACAAACAGGTGACGTTTCCAAACAATTTTGCACAATACATTTGATTTTACCTTCACTACGCAAGTACGAAATATAATCTTTTTATTCCAGATGGAGGACGAGCTTGACATGGAAGTGCAGCTGGAGAGAGAATTGGCGGCGGAGCAGGAGGAACTTCTCGAGGAGGAAGATGAGGACGACATGGCGATGAATGGTAGAATAGACGGTGGTGAGGATGACGACGACGATGATAAGGAGCGCGAGTCGATGGTGGTAAATGAAAAAATACACGTCGCGAGACCAGGATTGGCCAAAGTTCGATCATTACCTGCAAATTTTATTTACAACCCACCGAGGGAGAGAAACATCGATGGTGAGAGCATTATTAAATGTTTACAACCCGGTATTGAAGTATTGCGATATTGTATTTTTATCCCTAAATATTATATTGCGTCTCATTATAAAATTAATTAATCATCTTTTATATCTTTCAGATGCCTCCATTTCCGTGTCCTTGGACGAGAAACGTCGCAGTTCGTATTATCACAGTTCGAGTTCAAGACCGTCCAAGTTTAAATCGAAACGCCGGCAAACCTTCCACTCGAGCCACCATCAACGAAGGTCACTGCTGCCGATGCACTTCGAGGTCGCCGAAGTCTTTGAGAAACCTGTGAGCAATCTGAGCGTGCCTCGAATTATTCCACATCGCAGCTACGCCACGACTAGTCAAGACGCCAGTCGCGTACAACGTCAGAAGCTGCCGGTAAGGAAATTATATTTCGATAAAGATAAATTTATACCCCGTGCGCTAAAAGGGAAGCGAGTAGCATATATCGGTTGCATTATAAATTATCATGAAAAAGGATAAAAATATAGTGTTTACTCATTTGATTCGGTGAATGAATTTTCGATTAGTATTTGCCATCACAGCACGGGAACAATATATAAGAAAATCCTCGTTCATTCTTCCCTTTCTCTTGATAAGAAACTTTTCTGACGCTTAGAAAAATTCTCGTCCAGGCTTACAATTACAGTGAAGTGAAATGTCATTTTGCAAACGTGAATTTTGCAGGTGATTACGAGTGAAATACGTGAAAATAAGTCTCTGTTAACCGTGAGCAAGCCGCCGACCAGCCCCTCGCTCATCACTTCCCCCGGCTCGAGCAGCACCCTGAGCGTCCCGCCGAGACTGACTAGCGATCGCTACCTCATGCCGACCGCCGAGATGTACCCGTCCAAGGCAACAATGAGCCGCCGGACATCGAGCGACACGCAATCACCGTCGCTATCGGATACGAGCCCGAGCGCGAGCCCGAGCGCGAGCGCGAGCGCGGCCGCCGGTACCAGCAGCTCGCGTACGCCCAGCATCGCGAATGGCTATGCCGGCGGCAAAATTCGACTAGAGGAACCAAAGGCGAAGACGTCAGACGAGAGAAGACGTCCAACGACGGCGCCTCAAGAAGACCTCGATGTGCAATCCGTTATCAACGAGAGGAGACCGTCCAAGCTGAAGACGCACGACCCCACCGGTGCGTCCACCACCACCAGCATCACCAGCGATCAGTACAGCGCGATGATGCGCGGCGAGGGCTACAGCCATATCTACGTCACCACCGAGGACAGGTCCGACGAGGTCCCGTCACCGTGTGGCAACGCGAGCGAGAGCACTGGTACCGGCAGCCCGAGCGTCGCCGGCAGCCTCAGCGCCGTCGCCAGTCTCAGCGTCGCCGTCAGTACCGGCGCGGCTGGCACCATCAGCAACGGTAGTGGCAACGATAGCGGTAGCCGAAACGGCAACGGCAGCGGCAGCGGCGGCGGGGTGCACATCGGCGAGGGCGGCGCTATCGGATCCGACGTGAGAATATACGTGGACGACACGGACTCGACGAGCAGCAGCAACGGGCAACGGCGCGGCGGCAGATTACGCGACGACGAGACCACCCAGGACGCCTCGACCACCGTCTCCTCCGCTACGACGATGCGAAACGGCAGAGGCAGCGGCGGCACGGACGAGAGCAAGGAGACACCCGAGAGACCGTCCTCCACCGGTGGGTCCTTGGATCCCTCTTAATCCAGGGCGAGCGGGTCGATGTAGTCTCTGGTTGTACGTACGGGATGTTTCGAAGGGTTGCAACGTGGTATACACTGCACGGCGGAAACACACCACGAAGGAAGATCGCGGAAGGGGTTTAAGAAAGGGCTCTAAGAAAGACTGTAGTGCATGACAATATAGTCGTTATATTCTAGTCACTTCGCCGCCGTGAACTTGCCAGAAATGATCAAGCCGAGCTTTTAAATGGAGATTGAACTTTTGGAAGCAAGGGGAGAGCGGGAGAGAGAGAGAGAGAGAGAGAGAATACGAAAAGAATATCTCGTGCATCGCGTAAACGAGATACGATCGCACGAATGGCATGATGTAATGTAATTAGAAGAATCTATCGATGCGTAGCGCATAACGGCTACGCAAAACGCGCGACGTCCGCGCATCACGCAACTTGAAAACCTATGACAATCTCTTATTGCCAACGGAACTGACCTTGTTGTTCCGTTTCCGAAGCGTCAATGGAAGTCGATTCGTAGGAATTGGTAGGAAGAAGAACGACGTAGGGTCGCGTCGATAAAAATTAGAAAAAAAAAGAGAAGAGAGAGAGAGAGAAAAAAATTTCAGTAGTTTATAGCTAGATTTTATGTGTCGAGTCTACGCGACGAAACTGCAATTAATTGGACCACACCCTCTCGCCTTTCCTTATTCTCTACTCTTGGAAATTGCGCGCGGTTCGCCGATTGGAAAACAAAGGTGTCTACAATCGATCGATGTGGATCCTAGTCATCGGATCGACTAACGAGAATGATAATTAATCGGTCAAAGTGGACTGATGTAAATCGTTTGCGATTATATATACACGTGCCTGATCTTTTAACTAGAATAATCAGATTTATATAAATTCCAATTCGTCTAGAAGGGACATGATAATCAGTTTTACATTTTAGTGTCGGAATAATCTAGAGACTTCGATTTTCACGATTAACACCTATCAGTTGGAAAGATTCGATCGATCAATTGTGACGATTATTGGACAATCGGCGTTCGAGAATCGTGATTTATCTTCGTTTCGTTCACTTCACTCTTTTCACACATTAGAGCGTTCTTCTCGTTGACATCTGTGATATACTTTAATCGTAGTGTATTTCCTAACGGTAACAGCAAATATCAGAACGAAATCGTAACATCAGCAGCAGCAGCAGCAGCAGCAACAGCAGCAGCAAGGAACAGCAACCATTTAGAGATGTAGCTGACTTTTTAATAAAACGAAAACCAATGTTTCGGTGGCTTTCGTGGGGCGTAAAAATAGAGAGACAAAACAAAGATAAATAGGAACTCTATACTGTACATACATACATCTACGAATATTCTATACTCTACACTTGGTGTGGTTTATTTTGATACTACCGCGTGCGGTAATATATTTAACGATTGTCGAAGTAAATCTAACAAAAAAAAAGAAATAAGAATAAACAACTCTATGCCTTTTACGAGCGTTGACGAACCTTCGTGCGGTGGTGGTGCCCGCGTTTTCTTTCTTTTTCACCTGCGAAAGGGAGACCGACGACTCCAGCTACCCTTTGTCGGGTCGAAGGTGTAGTCGCTAAAATCATGCTCGGGCGCGCCGGGCGCGTCGCATTGCTTGAAAAAAAAATAGTAGAAATTGTCGAACGATCGATCGCTCGGTCAATATTGCGTTTCATTAAAAAGATTTAACAAAGTCTTGAGCCGTGCTTTGAGTTTAAGTGGAATTCCTGATCCACTGTTGAGCGAGATAATCGGATCATTGAATCGTCGATGGAAGCATTGTGGTGAACACGTATGTTAGGTTCCACGGAGTTGCACTTAACACCAGAATGGCTGAGAATTTGCTATCTAGAAGAATAGTTTCTTATACAACGTGCATGAGAACAATTGTATAGCAAGAATATAAATCCGTGACTTCTCGTTTCTCGGAGAGTTTTCTACTGGTACTTTATTGTGAATTGCATACGTTTTTTACACTTAATTATTTCTAACATGGCCGGCTTTCACAAATCGAGATATTCGAAATAGCGTTTAAAAATGAAATGTATGATTTACACAGCTTAAAACTTTTTATTATTACGTAAAAGAGAAACTAAGACTTGAGACACTTTTACACAATCTTTATAAAATTTCGAAAGAATATGTAGTGATAACTGTCTTTGCCGTTCTGGTGGTAAATCTCAACTGGAAACGACGTGGCACAAAAAAAACAATACGTAGCAAGCACAGACAGAAGCAACGAGCGACTCCGTATTGCTATCAGATCATGCTAAGTCGAATTCAGAGCAAGCGAATGAGCACGCGAATGAACAATGGCGCAAGCACCGTTTGCACTTACTGAAGCAACTTGTTCATTCGTGTTCGTTTCCTTGGTCCAGGATCGGCTTTAGACATAAGGAAAGTACGTAGATAATCTCGCATCCACGCGCTTACGTACATGTACTCGCGTTTTCTTCGGCACCACGACCGGCTCTCGATAGCTCGATAGCGTTAGACGACTGACCTCCGAATTATAGTTACTCTAGACACGCGCCGATTACGATCGTGCGCGAGTTCGCCGATCAGCTGCACACGTATCGATAGTCCGGCAATTGCGTACTATATAAAAAAAAACAAAAGAGATACATAGGAACATCGGTTCAAGAGGATGGAGGAAGGTAAAGTGTCATTAGAGAATTTTACGATCGTGCGTATGTGTGCACGCGTAACGGGGAGAGGAGATGTCGTATTGAAACTCGCAGCGTGCCTCTCGAGTCTGTTCTTCGCCCGTAGAGAAGGCAGTGCGTAATCGTCGAATTAATGAAAGCGCAAAACTACAAGAAAAAAGAAACCAAGAGAGCACAGCGGAGAGAAGCAGAAACCAAAATCGGGCCGCGGCCGGCCCCCCCGGAATATATAACATGCTATTTTAATTACGGTAATGGGGTGTGTAACGGCCGATGTCCGTAGAACCGTCGGGGAGCGTCTTTTCCTGTCTGCCTGATGTCCTGCATGTATGCGGTATTCGATGGCTGGTGATGCGAAACTTTGGCCTTCGCGCCACCACGCGAAAGCGGAGAATATGATAAGAATGTTGGGGTACGTGTGCGACGTATGGGGAGAGATTCGAGATAGCGGGGAGTTCGAGGGAAAAAAAACTAAAATATGTACAAATGTAATAAATCGAGCGACGATTACGTTGAAACTGGCCTGTTGTTTTTATTGAGCGACCATCAACAATCGATATCGCAATGGATATTTTTTTTAACACAAAACGGTAACCTGTTTCGCTCATCTCTGGTCAATCCGCGAGACTCTTAACTAGGATGGTAATTTATTGTTGTTATTATGAAATGATTGTGAATTCAATCGAGCCACATTTCATTGAGTGCGTCTTTTGTTGAATTTTATTTGGTTAAACCGTAGAACGACACATAATTTTACGAAAACTATAACTTTGACGTATCTGGTGCGAGCATTCATATCTCACCAAGGGTACCATGCACCCGTATTCTATAGATACACGTGTACTCCGGATTACCACTGTTGGAATGGACTTTCAGCTCGATTATCTCGTACGCTTCTCTCGCTCGGTTCTGCAAATTAATTTTTTATTTCATGTAATCGAGCGCAAACATTGACAATCGAGTGAATTCCAACGACAAATGTTAATTATATCACGTCAGATATTCCACCTGGACCTCAAAATACTGCAGCGGCGAACCGGTATTGTCATACATAAAACTGCCAAATGAAAAAGGCTTCTCGTCATCGAGATCTGTCAAACCCTAGAATCGATACGTACAAAATACACACAAAAATACATTCATTTGTGGTATTGCAGTACAGAAACTACGATGTTGCACACATACAATCGCAAAAAAACCAACTCACCCAAGTAGAAAAGTCTCGTGGCGCCGTGGCGGTCTCGCCAGTCGGAGATATCAACGAGGAGATGTGCTCGAGGCTGACTCCGGACACGTGCACACGGCCGAGTAATCGAATCACCACGCTGCCGCTGCTGCCCTTGAAGGCCCAGCATTCGCCCGGTAAAACGCCGGTCTGGTAAATACTTTGGGATCAGAACGTTAATAAAATTAGATATAATCAGGTAACCTGTATCACGGCCCGGGGTGTGTTCTGCTGTTGACAAAGCGGTATGCCGAACAGATTGAGCACAGGCGCGCCGGTCGAGTAAGGCTCGGTGTCTCGTGTCGACAGGATCGCCCCGCCTGAGGATAAAGGACTACGTGACGAAGTGCCAAAGCTGCGTAACTATGTCCTCGCAATGCTTTTCTTAATCAAGGGTATAAGAAAACCGACTATTTATGAAAGAGAGATAATTTTACTGTTGCGAATAAAATACCTATCGTAAAACCTTAAACCGTATGATAGTTTCTGAGCAAAGTTATACAAAAAGATTGCTGCTAGGTATTTTTAAGCTGACTGAAAAAAGAAGCAAAAAGGCCACTACGTATCCTACTTACGCATGAGATTATTAGCAGGTCGCAGCGGAGCGCCCTTTAATTAATACGTTCTGTGTAAAAAAAGGCGTACGTAAAAATAGACTATTGGATAGAACCTGAACTTTCAAGAGCGTAATCCGTTCTCCCAGTTTTGTCGGCATCGTACGTCTGTAATTCATTTCTCACCATGTCCTTGACGGTCTCCGGTGACAGGGCCTTCATCAGGTGCTTCGTATGCAGACTCATCTCTGTCGCAAGCATGAGACGCCGTACTCGTGATAAGTGTTAGAAAACTGGCGAACGACGCAATCGTTCGTCGAATAAGGAGGTAAAAATATAACAAATAATTAGACGCGCGTGGATGATACAAAGAGAAAGGCTTTCGTTTCGTCCCGTGCGAGCGCTTGCGACATGGATAGGCACAATACGTCGCTCTATTTATTTAGTCGATATGTTTGACGTCAGAGAAATGCCACCGCACCAGGCGACATCCGGCCAACATTTATACGCCGCACCTTTCTTACCCTCGGACACTTCGTTCCTCAGGCTGAGGATAGCTTCTGACATTTTTGGAATCACGCTGCCCACTTCCTTCAACTTGCTCTTCAGCTCGTCGCGCATCTCTATCACGTTCTTCACCTCTAGCTAATGTATTTTTTTTTGGCAGAAATAATGAGAAAAGAATCAATCGTATCACGTAACAATATTAAGATAAAAATTATTCGCTCTTGGAAAAGGTTGTGACAGCAAACAATTACCGAGAGAGTATCCAAATAAGATCTGAGATTGCCCAAGTCTGCCTTGATCATTTTAAATGACGCGCTTGCGGAATATTTGTCGCAGAGGTGAGATACGGACATCGCTATAAATGTCGAAGCCCCTTATAGTTGGATTCATTTATAGAAATACCAAGAGAGCCATTAAAAACTTTTTACGATAACTTTTATCAAGCTAGAATCTCGTACCGAGCATCGACGTGATGATGCAGAAAGCGAGAGGTTTGACGAGTTTGGTGCACCAAGCGGATCGTTGGTTGCAATTGACCGGGGTAGCCGGGCAATTCCCTGCGTTAACGCAACAGAAGGTGTTTCGTGCGCTCATCAGCCTCGTTTCATCACGCAATCGTGTCCTAAGTACTTGCAGAAGAAACGCGCTGACAATAGTCGATGAAATTAACGTATATCAGATATTAGCGACGCTTCTTATGACTGGTAATCGCCACGTTTTTTTCATTGTACGTATGTGTCAAAATTTGGGTAATTATTGACAACCGTCTGTACATAATCGATATATCGCAAAAAGACGAATTGAATCGCGATTCCAAATATGCAAATTGATTGTATACCGGGAGGAAATGACTTGTCTATCATTTTCACATTGAGTGAAAACGATAAACAGTTCTGGATCAGAAGAAAAGATTCGTTCCATTTTGATGAAATATTCAAATATATTTTCTTATCCTAGTTTCATTATTTTATTTGTGGGTGTACAAGATACGTATGTACAGGATAAATGCAGATAATACTAAAACAATGTATATACATCATTTTTCAAACGAGCACGGCTTTTCCGAATAATCGTGCAAAAAAACGCGATCCAATTTCGTTTGCCTATGCATACATATTTCTTTAGACAGAGCAAAAGAACACCCATAATGCACTTCGCTATGTTCTACTGCAAAATTTTGTATACTTTTTGCAAAATCTGTTGCTCTAAATAAATGTGATTAATTGCACGATACAACGCTCGCTTGCTCTAAAATATCTTTTATCTTCGAAATTATGAAATTACGTTTGCATGGATGCTTAAAAAGCACAATATTAATAAAATGAAAAAAAAGACCTATACAATCACATATTTCTGGTACAGTTTGCTTTAATTTCATCTTCGTTGATCTTTATCGTTAAACGAAAAATAACAACATCTTGGACGAATGTGCACTAGGAATCCCCGATGCCTTCTCGCATGAATTGTGCACATATCGACATATTTATACATTTTGCATATGCATACATGAAAAATGTACATGTGTTCTACCAGCGCCTGAATTCATATGGGAAGGCCATCAGTGACTCCTAGTGTCAGAAAGGTTGACCGACGTTACGATACATTTTACAAAAAATTTTCGGAATATCCATACGTATCATTGCATAGATATTCGTGCATGTCATTCCTTTACTCTGACAATGCGTCACACATTCGCGCACATAAACACACTGCGTATAATCTCTTGCATGATAGACTGTATTTCCGAAATTTGTCGTAAAACATCGGACAACCATTCTGACCACGACTGTATGTACATAAAATAGTACTGTTGTATCCAAATACGTTCTCTCGATGCTAAAGCTATCGTTACGATGTAGTATCGGACGTTAATATCGGGAGTCGGCGTTACTATATGTTTTTCAGGGCGGCATGTATACGTAAGTTGAGTCGAGTTTCAAAATCATAATCTTTGTACTGATTTTGCGCCTTCAGTAGGAAACTCTTGCCTTCGTTAGGATTCTAAAATGTGAGATAGCAAAATTGTACAAGAAACAACGAAAATATAGACGACGCGCGTATGGTATACTTACGTTATTGTTACTAAGACTGCTCCCTAATTCGTATAGCGCGAACGCGCTGATGTGCTGATCGTACTCGTCCTTGGACGGATACCTGTGTTTCAAACAATTTCGGAAACTTTTAATGGCCGCCTCGGTATCCCCCAGATAAAGACACGCTGCGCCTTCGATAAGATCAATCAAGCCCACCATCGGCTCCTCGGAATGATTTTCCTTGCATTCTGATAATAAAGTCATGTGATAGAATAAAACATAAAAAGCTTTTTTCGCGCAAGAAGTCGTCATAAAATGTTCGAGCATCTCAACTTTTCAGCCACCTTTCTGTGCTAATTGAAATATTATCGGTTACACATTGCAGGATCTAAAGCAGATGGAAACTGGAAAGCGATCTGTCATTACCGTATGATATTCCCCGCAGCGATTCGGCGGAACAGGACGGAAGGGCGTTCCACAAGTACAGTGATTCGTATACGAGCAACTTATAGTACAGAGCTGTGTAAGGATGCCCGGTCTCCTTATCGACGATTTTCGGCATCCTGCGCATGATAAAAACATCGAGTTGCGACTCGCTTTTCGTCTCGTGGAACCAGGGGAGGATCTTGCCGTGCAACGACAGGAGAACGTCAAACTTGCCGTTCGCTCCGCAACAAACTGCAAATGTGGCACAATGAGGAAATCCGAGTCTGCTTATTCGGGAGTCGAGGTGGTGTTGGAGTTACCCATGGCTAAGTATGCGTAGAAGCCCTTGGACCATCTCGACTGCTGCTGCAACTGCAACAAGGATCGATATGCCTCGTCGTAGTTCAAGCGTATCACGTGGCACCAAGCCACCTCGTGCAAGCACAGCAATTTCACTTCCCTCTGCGTCGCAACGTCCACTGCTTTGCCGAACGCTTCTAGCGCTCCATCGACATTTGTCTATCAAACGATCGGTGCATGCAAAACAAGGCAATGTTGTATTAATGTAACGTGAAATCGAGAATTTAGTAAGTCAGGCTGTACACGTTGTGATAAACTAAAACACATTTTCATGTTCATAAATAAAAATCTCAATCATAATATTTTAAACGTACAGGATTGAAGGATTGTTTTATGTAAAGTGAATTGTCGAAAATGATAAATAATACTCAATTGTTTAATCTATCGGTACCTCCAGACGTTCCATTCTGCCAGCGAAGAAGAGAAAAAGGGCAGAATCCTGGAACTCGGCATGACACTCGGCTATCAGCTGCTTTGCTGCCGCGACCCCCGCCTTTACATTAGACCCGTCAAGCGCGAAAAACGGACGTACAATCGTGTGATACCAGAGTAGGGATAATCTACGACAAAACGGTAGCACATTGACCGGTCGTTATGCGTTAAAGATGTCTCAGAATATAACAGACTTGGAGATTGGTATACGCCAGCGTACATTGTAAATCAAAATAATGAAAGCTTGAACATCAGAAAATAGCGGTATATTATGCTTTGAAGATGCTAAATATTTTAGGCAAGCGTTCAAATTGTACAACACACTGGTTTGCAAAAATACACTTAGGAAGAAGCATTCGAAAGCCACAATACACTCACGTGGCGAGCGGTGCGCGCATATCTTCGCCAAGTCGTGCGTACATAAGGGCGGTAAGACCAGACTGCCTGTTGCCCTCGAAGCCGAAGAAATGGATTACTTTCAGCACAGACGGTGGCAAGAGGCTCACGCACAGCTGATATATGCCATAACCGAAACTTGCGGCCGACATTAAGCGCGTCACCTCCGTAGGTTCCACAAAGCTGCGAAGTACATTCCGCTTTAATTAATAAGTTTTCAAGCGCGACGTGCGCGCGAGCTTGGAACGTGCGAGCGAGGGAGGAAGAAGAGCAAAGTGATCTCGAAGCTAAGCTACAAACTTCGCTCTTACGAAGCGAGTACACGTGGCAGTGTGTGAGTCTACCGGCGCAAAATTAGATCGGAGATTCAATCGCGCACGACAGCAATGCCTTTCTTCTCGCGAGAGGAGGGGATAATGGAAAGACGAGGGAGAGACGAGAAGTTTCGAGTAAGAAGAAACGACAATTACGGTGTCTGTTGTTCGGACGTGATGCCGGTGAGCGAGAACAACATTGAAAGAGAGCTTCGCAGACCTGATGGCGACGGCGCGGGTGTCACGTTGTTCACGTAACCGTTGCAGGATGGTATCGACCATTCCGAAGATTCCGGACTCTGCGGGCTCTGCAGAGAGGATCCATTGCTCGCCGGGGTGACGCATGGACTGAATCCTGCAACAAGACAATTAAAGTCGTTGTTTCTGCGAAGCCGCTACGATCGAAACTATCATTTCCTGATTTGTCCAACTTTCTAATCTTAGATATCAGATCGTGATTACGCACCGGTCGGATTTGTACCAAAGGTGCGACGATACAGTTGCGAGATCTGGGTGTACGCGTGTTGATAGACGCGCCAAGCTTTGCGGAGCATCCAGCAGCCGCGAACGTATCCGGTCAGCTCTTGTTGGAGAAACAACGACACGGCTGAGAATACCTGAGTATCCGCCAGAACGATTTGGCGTTCCAACTTATTCACGTAGTCCTTCTGAAATTAGTTTTATCACTGTCTCTTTCGTTTTTATTAATTGAACCGTCTGCAAATTCGCAAATGCAATTATAAGTAAGTATTAAATGACGCGTGATATCTCATTGTGCTAATGTGTCGTATCGATAATCACAGCTTGGGGAGTAAAGACCTCGGACCAGAATTTAAGACACTGCTTTATGATTTAAGTCTTTGTCTTCAAGTGACGCACATTACTGTCTTATGTCTTAAATTAAAAGTGCAAGACAGTCATTCCGTAAGGGAGGCCCTAAGGTCAGTATTCATAGTCGGATCTTATATTCAAAACCGTCTTAAGATCCTCTTTAGATACTCCACAGCCAACGAAAGGCTCCATGCAGCATCTTTAGATAAATTCAAGACGGTCTTGATTATAAGATCCGACCATGAATAAAGGCCCAAGTCGATTTAATCCGGTATCACAGACATATCTCACATAGATTTTACTTTGTATTGCTACGATCAATATCATAGTCGCAATTATTTCTGCGCATCCGGACGTATTAAAGGGATCCGAACCGAAGGAAAATAATAATCTTGTTGAGAAAACTCACATCGGTCTCCTCCGCTCGAAACACTTTACTTCTCACGGACTTGAGCCACCCTATATCGCCCGCACATTCCCGTTCCATATCTTTCAGCAACAACGTGGCTTGCTGGAACTTGTCCTCTTCGAAAGTCATCAGGGCATTCTGCGCGATTCGTCAAGTTGCGTTAAAAATTATTACCGCCAGGCGTTAAAACGTTCAGGGACACCTGGCATTTTTTATTAATCGGGGCCGAAGCGAAGCCCGTCGTCTCGTGTTTTTGTTTCCTCGTCATACCGTGACAGGACTGTGAGACTACCTTTTACTTATATTCGCGTGTCCCGGGGTATCAATCGGGTATCGATTTTATATTTTCCGATGCACGCGTGTGCTCGCGGTTTATTATTAAAGCCGATTAAGTAACAACAGCCCTTCGCGGCCTTGAGATACGCTAAGCGTACCTGGTCGGAGTGCAGCGGAATCGATAGGTATGGCTCATCACGCGATTTACGTACCATGAAGAGAACAAAGCAACGGCCGGCTTTGACGTGGAAGCTATGAGGATGCTCGGTGAACAGAGCCTCCGCCTCCTCGGTTCTGTTGTTGAGCAGCAGGGAGATGCCGGTCCTGGCGACTTTCCAGTCCTTCCCCGCGTCCTCCGCTATCGCCATTATCCCCCGTGGAAAAGGACTTTAGAGAGACTTTCGTGGTACGACAGAGGGGTCCTTTCCGCTCCGAGACTGCCGGCTGCGCGTTCGTCAAATGGAGAACATCTCTCTACCGTGCGGGATTGCCGACCTTGCGTCAAGGTCACTTACTCGCGCGAGCATACCGATAATTGTTGATTTATCGCTGCGCGGAGAAACAAGCCCGATGGTCGAAAGTGTACACTGTACCGCGAGATATCCCGTGCATTCACGTTACGAGCCAGCCGCGTTGTGGTCACCGCTGTCGTCACTGATCGGGATGCGATGCATCCTTAGGAGCGCCGCACTTCCTCCTCGCACAAGCCGCAAAGCAGGAAGGAAGTGCCTCTACTCTCAACGTACACTTAAAACAGTTTCTCACGCTTAAAATCTAACGTTTTGCCTTTCCCGGAATTTTGGCCTTCCGGCGGGACGCGGTAAATTGAGCGACTAGGACGGACCTACCCTTCGTGTACGCCTCGTTATAAGTATTTGATGTGATTATGCAATTCGCAAGCCGCTGTGCAGTTATTATATAAGTTTCCGTCGTCGTGCATGATCACTCCAGTCTTCACTGGTGCACTTTCATCTCTTTCATCGATTCCTTTCCAATTCATTTGTATACGGACTGTTTAGAATTCTTCGTCGGATGTACCGTTCCTCAACATCTTCGGGGTAAAAACGAATTTTTCGGTGCGGTTCACCTGGACGCAAAACACGGAGTGCGGGTAAGACCAGCTAACGACCATCGAACTATGTAAAATCCGGACGCCGCTTCCGTTCTTTATAAAAGTTGGACAAATTACCAGGCACTGGCATACTACCGGAGTGACGTCACCTTTCAAAAAAGCGCGAGCGAGGACGGCGCAGCGGATGCACGCGAATCGCGGCACATGCTCGAGCCGCGAACCGTATCCTTGCTGTGCATCGGGTTGACTAAACCCTGCTGAAGAAGCGCAGTGCTGCTGCCACCACCTCTCCGGGCTGGATATATACTTGTATTATTGATTTTGGCATAGAAGTACATATTGTAACCCTGAGCGCGCGCGGTACGCGCAACGAGGAAAAACAAGAGGAAGAGAAAGAAATTAGCCACGTGACGCAAAAAGCTCGAGAGGCGCAAAGACATTGTGTGGAACACTAGAATCTTCCCGTGTCACTTTGTCACACTGTGCTTCTAACGCAGCACGAGTGCTCGAATGCACACAATTCACTCTGCGATAAATATTAGGCATCATTTTAACGTGGCGCAATGAAAGACACGGAATAATATAATGTATCTCGTATATTTACGTGTTTGTTAACACATTCGCAAATTTGTGTACGAATCAATAAGTGTGCTACCAGTTTAGAATACGTTAGTTTCGCGCGTTGAACACATACATTTACAACTGCCGTGCGGCATACATCTTAAGCCCGTATCAGACTACGGATTAGAGATTGAGATTAGATTGAAATTTTCTTACTCCGATTGGTCAGTCGCTAAAAAATCAATCACTAAACTTGAGATTAGTAGACTTTACCGATTGGTCAAATTTCAACCTAATCTCAACCTCAATCCGTAGCCCGACACGGGCTATACAGGCATTCGATATCGGTGAGAATAAAATTTGTACTCTGGCGCTTCGAGTGCAGCAAATGCAGTGATCATTCGAAGGGAAGGTCTTGAGCCGCGGTCCACTTGACGCTGGAAATCCTTCGAAGCGTTCTTCTCCTTCCATTTAGCAAAGAAAGAAGTAGAAGGTACGCTTCAAAGCATCCGCAGCGTCAAGTGGACCTTAATTACACTGTTCGACTTTCCAGCAATTTTATCTCGTAGAAACTTGAGACTATGCATTTTGTACATTTATTTACAATTTCTTTATTAAATAATCAACAAGTACTAGATGTCATATAAATTCTAGCCCTTCGAACTTTTTATCCATCACTTTCGTTTCGGACATTATTACTGTGCCTTCTATCGTAAAGGCCATGATATACGTAGCGGTGCGCCCTTGGTATTCTTCAGTTTTCAACGCTATTACGATAGAATCTTGCGAGCCGGGAAGAAATTTGAAACTGGAGAAACCTCTGATTGGGATTAGCTCGCCGATACGAGTAACCTGTAACGAATTTCATAATTGTTTACCATTTGCCAAGACATCAAAACCAATGGTACACGACGTAACTGCTGAAAAACGCACTTTAATATCAACGAAATTTTCGTCCGCGGTCAGCAAGACGTTGCAGCTCATCGTTTCGTCCCGTGTCTCATTGTAACGCTCGTGGGAACATCTTCTAGGCAAGAAGAACCAGCTCTTGTGTACGTCGCTCCAAGCGCCGGACTCGTGTATCATGTAACCTGCGCAAAGTACACGCATGATAAATTAATTCGGGCATTCGCACATTACCGAGTCCCGGCGTACCTGGATATTCGATGTTAATCGCTTGCCTTAATCGTTTGTAGTACGAGATCCAATTGAGAGAGTGCGTCTCGCCACGCGGTGACACCACTTTAACCCACAACGGATTGTTGTGTTCAAATTCACCGGATGGCGTGGTCCACTCCTTCCCCATACTGCCGATGTACAACTGCTCGTCCTTGATAGTCGCCCACTCGGACTTAAATCCTACGTGAATCAAAGTTTCGTGAGAAAAAGCATGTTGCGGCGAGTAACAGTAACGTCGGTTCGTTGCGCTCGCAGATGCCTACCTTTGTGATTCTTCCCATTGCCATCCATTAGGATGACCCACGGGTAAACTTGATCGCCCTCGACGAAATATACCATCCCCGTGCGATCGTCGAAGGAGAGCAGACGGCCGTCGAAAGTCACTAGTTCCGACAGCTCCATTCCGCGCCCCTTCATGGACAAGGACGAGGACAGCACGACGGTCCTGTCGTCCCAGGTGACGGAGAGATAATTGCTGCCCGAGTTCCAGTAGAGGCTGCCGGTCTTCATGAGGCTGTGCCACGTGTCCCTCTTGTCCGCGAGCTTGGAATCGTGGTCGAGGTCGCTCACTATCGCTATCCGGTAGGTGATGCCCTTGGAGGCCCTGATGGGCGTCGAGATTGGGTACGTGCGGTTGTACCTGTAGTAGTGACACTGGGCCGGTGCGGGGCTCGGCGGCGCGCACACGAGGCCGTGCAGCAGCGGGTACGCGAGGAAGAAGGTCGGCACGCACAGCAACAGGAGGAACAGCGCCACGAACTGGCCCTGGACGCGGAACGTGCTGTTGGCCACCCGGTAGACGTGCGGTGCGCGCAACGCCTGCCGCCAGTCGCGCAGGTACGACATGGTCTCCTCCCCGTTGCTGCCGCTCCTCATCCGCGCCGCACGGATTGCGTCAGAGTCTCGGCATGCGTCGGCTCGTCGGCGCTCGACGGCGACGTCGACGGTAACTCTAACCTAAACGCGCACGTCCGCGAGACAACAGCAGCGTCGCGTCGCCGCGTCGCGCTGCAATCAACCTAACCTGACCCGGCCACGTGACGGCTCTCCTGCAGCGAAGACTCGTGTTGCGCCAATGCGCTCGCTGGGCGGAGAAGGACCCGTAGGCGCTTAAGGCATTGTTTAACTTTAGGCTTAGCTTAACACGCTCTTTGTTTCTTTCCAACTATTACTTTAGAAAGATACAACCGTGAGTTAATCTTATAGCGAATTCGGTTGCTTGCACAGTGCGCACTGAGTGCACGCTAAAGGCTGGTCTACAATACATGGAGTAAGCTGGAGTAAGGAGTAGGAGTAAGGAAATAAATCCATTTTATTTCTCACTCCTACTTCAGCTTACTTAGGCTTACTCTCGGTGAATCAAAATGCCATCAATCAGTGTTACAATTATTTTAACAATCATGCCCGTAATATTTCAGCTTCCTTACACCAAAAGCTAGAAGTTAGGGCTCTCCCTTACTCCACGCTTACTCCACGTATTGTAGACCACGCATAAGGCTTCTTATATATTTAACATTGTCTTAAATACATGTTCAAAAAGTATTCAGTCGAAAAATGATCCGCGTGAACGTTGTACGGGCCATTTTTCTGGATAGGAAATAACGCAAGAGGTAATTAAGATGATCTTTAAATATAACAATTGACTGGAAACAAGGCTTAGCGTGCACTCAATGAAACCAACAAGGGTTTCTCCCTCGGAAGAAACGTATTTAAAACACCGTAATGATGGACGTGGAGAAACTACAAAATAAATACCCCACTATAATCGCAATATTTTTTTAATAACAAAAAAACAACCTGATCTCTCTCGTCCAACACATGTCGCATGACAACTGTACATCTCTCGATATTTTTACACGTGTCGCACAATTAATTGACTCTGCACTCTTCAACCAAGGAGTGCAATCATTTTTTTCACCAATATCTTATTAACATATTGGCCAAACGAACGATATGAGATCAATAACAATTGTGTGAAGAGATAACTTGAAGAGGGTCAAAGTCCGGGACCGAAACGTCGTTTGATTTTTAACTAAAAACATTGGCCGGTGTAGATCGTTTGTAAAAAAAACTAAATATCATTGGTTTTATATTACTGGCGATATTAAATCCATTTGTGAAAGTAGAAATACTTAAATTATCATAACAGTTATGCAGTTATGTAAATAGGCACGTATGCAGATCGTTGAGCAAATCGATCTCTCAACGATCGACGCGCCCGATCTTCGCAATTACAGCGAGAGCGCATTCGCCGTAGGGGGGGGGGGGCTCCATTAATTAGCGTCGCGCGCCGGCGACGCGTAACGACGCCGGGCGCGCGTGCACGTTCGAATCGCCGGCGCGGTTGGGGTCGGACTCTCCGTCGGCGAAATGAATCGAAGGGGGCGTCGGTAGACAGCGGGGGAGACGCCGGGGATGAATCGGCGAGGGTGGCGAGAACCTATACAGTCAGTCGCGTGACGCGTTTTCCGCCGACAGCGTCTCGGGCCCGGGCATCGAGTGCGTCGAGTCGCGTTCGCGCGCGGCCGATAGACACGGGCGATCTCTCTCCGAGGCTCCGCTCCGTCTTGCGTTCTCATGATTTTCGCGCCGTCGTCGTCGCGAGTCGGACGCGCGACTCCTCGGCCCTTCGTGCGCGCTCGGCCGTAACCGGATCGCGCCGCGCGCCAACCTGTATTATCGATCGCGCGGGCGCGCGTGCCGCAGTCTCGCGCGCCGCGCGTTCGGGCCGGCCGCGTGCGATATATCTACGTGCGGATCACGTGCGGCGCGGGGCACAAGCCGAATCTCGCGCGCCCCGAGACGCCGCGCCGGCCGGAGGAACGCCAGTCGGCCCCGTCGTCCGTCGATGTGCCGCGCCGCGTGTGTACAACGCATCCCGAGACTGCGTCGCCGCGCGGGTCCCACGCGTCGTTTGAACGCGGCCCCTCTGTGCGAACGACGCTCCGTGCTTCGGTCACGTGACTCGCGACTCGCTCGAGGATACGTAGCCTCCGTTCGGCGCCTAACAACGGCCTAATAACGTCGTGGATGCGACCGGCGAGGCTAACCGGAGTCATGCTATTCCATTGCTCGCCGAGCTTCCGGCGGCGACCGAGACACTTTCCGTCCTCAATGCCTACTTTTCTTCGGCGAAGATGAAACGCTGCGCGACGGCGCTTAGGACGCGACGCAGGTAACGTCCCTTCGAGATACGTCCCGAGACGTCGATACGCGCCAATACTCGCACGCGGGGCGTGAAAAGCCACGGGGGTGTCGTGAGACGAGAAGCCGAGCCTAATCTCTGGCCTACATTTCAATTGTTAACGTCACGTGATCACCGGCGGGAGCGTATCTTGAACGTGTCACGTGACGCCCAGTCGACGAACCGTCCGCGTGCCGGCCGGCCGGCCGGCCGCGTTATCCGTCCACCGCGGTGCGATTCTCGCGCGCTTCCGCGCCTTTTCGACGGCGACGCGGTTTGAATCGCCGCGACCCCGCGACGCTCTGCCAGCGAGAGAGGTTATGACGACGCGCGCACGAGGATGCGCCCCATCGCGCCCGTTCGCCACCGAATCCTCTCGTCAGCGGCGGGCGACGTCCCCCGCCGATCTTGCCAAAGGTAAGACGCTCGAATCGCTGCGAATTGAGGGGGAAACCGCTGAGGGTATTGTGGTGTACAGATTTGCGGCATTACTGGGCATTGCTATGCATTTTTAGGGCATTGCTTTGGGCATTAGGCCTTGCTGGGACATTCTAATGATATAATAAGATAAAATAAGATAAAACAAGATAAATAAAATAAAGTAATGCCCGCTGGGCATTAGCGGGCATTGATATACAAGATTTTGGTCAGCGGTTTCCCCCTCGCTTCGAATAATGTATAAA